AAAAATGCCATCCACCTCCAGAAGGAGAACTGATGAACTCTGAGCGAAAATTGAGTATAATTTTTTCACTTTTTTTTGCTTTTTTTTCAATATGGTTAATATGGAAATGTTTTACATGATTTCACGTGTATAATTAACACCATATTGTTTGCCTTTTGTGGGTGGGGAGGGGTGAGAGGAAGGGAGAGATTCTGGAACTCAAAATTTAAAAAGAAAAGAATGTTAAAAATAAATAACTAATACATATATTTTTAAAAGAAAAATTACAAAAGTGCTTTTTTTTCAAAGAAGGGCTTAGTGCCTTGCCTGGGGAGTTGGAAAGGGACCCAGGAATCTCTCCTAAGAGCGTCCCCAGCTGCCAAGGTGGCCCTTCCCTCTGACTGAATTCCTCAAACTGGCCCTGTTCCCAGCCAGCTTGCTGAGATAGAAGGTTGGAGTAACTTGATTTGTAGCATCAGGATTGACTTGGCTTCCTGAGTTCCTGGACCAGGTGTGGATTCTGGTTCGCATGCAGCTTTCCTCCAGCATGACCCTGCCCTTACACCCTGGCAAACGGTCAACACTCTCTTGATAAGCAGGTTCAAAGACCCAGACAATCCATGAAGCTTAATATCAGCCCTCCTGTCTGGGCCTGTCTTTCTGACCTCTACCTGCATTTCAAATTCTCGTCTGGTCCGCCCATGTCTTGTGTCTTTCGGTTTATAAGTCTAAACTACTATGCTGGGTGTTCCAGGCTAATCTGAGCCCATCCAGGCTTATCAATCAATCAGTTAACAAGCATGTACTAAGTGCCTGCCATATGCCAGGTGCTAGTGGCACAAAACCAGAAATGAAACAGTCCCTGCCCTCAAGGAGGTTACATTCTATTGACAATTCCAGGGATTCTATTGAATCCTCCAGGAGGAATCTTATATCCCTTGGTTCATTTTGGTTTCTCTTGCTTAAAATCACCTCCTTTCTCCTCTCTGAATCCGGAGTCCCACCTATCTATCTAAGCCCAAGTCAGCTCCCTCCTCCGCTACAGCAGAGAGAGACGGGGACCTGGAATTACAGCAGCAGGCTTAAATCTCAGCTCTGTTACTCATTGCTTAAATGTTCCCAGGTAAATTACTTCACCTCTGTAGGCCTAGTCTTCTTATTTATAAAATGAAGGGCTTGTACTAACACATGTGGTGAGCTGGAGCTTGCTCATATGGGCTTGAGAGAGCTGGTTGCTAAATTTTCAGCATGAGCATTTACACCTTGTAAATCAGCAAGTGCTCCAAATCAGGGTTTAATTTATTATTTTGCAGATTGTCCAGACTTAAAGGAGGTGAAGGAAAAATTTTAATAATGCAGACTAAACTTAAAAGTGTGTCATGCACATAGTTTTTCCCCCAGTGAGCCAGTGGTTAACCATTTACCAGCACACTCCTGTAACCTGTTTTGTGTCATTGATCATTATGGCAGTTTGGTGAAGCCTATAGGCCCCCTCCCTTCTAAAGATAATGTTTTACATGCATAACATAAAATACATAGAATTACAAAAAAGACTAATTCTATTGAAACACAATTATCAAAATATTTTTTAAAAAAACAAGTTCACCAACCCCAGGTTAAGGATCCCAGGACTTAGTGATCTCTCCTTTGCAGCTCTAAATGCTCTAACCTTTCCTGACTACTCCTGATCTAATTAATTTCCTTCTCCTTTGAATTTAGAATCTGAACCAAACAATTTACCCTCTTGATTCCACGGTGTTAGTATTGTTTCCCCATTGGATGGTATGTTCCTTGAGGGCAAGAACCATGTCTTCTTTGTGTCTTCATGCATTTAGCACAGGACCAGATACACAATGAGTAAGGAACGAAATGCTTATTCATTGAGGCTCATCAGTTGCCTCACCTTGGAAGGGTGAAGGCCTCCAGGGAGTGGAGCAGCAGCTGAGGCTTGACTACGGGAAAGGCATGACCAGTGTGGGGGGAGGAGGAATATGGCAACAGGAAGAGCAAGGCATCTAGCCAGCTCTGTGGGTGCCCATGGGGAGGCTAGAAACAGTCCCCTCTCCTTGCCTGTTCCAGACCAAACTAACCACTTGGCACAGGAAGCTCAGCCCTACTGGAAGCGGCCTTAAAGCCCCTTTGTGCTGGGGGCTCCATAAGCCCCAATCTGGCCCCTGCCTGTGCTGACTGAATTAGGCATGTTGCTGGTTCTCTGATGCAGGAACAGAATGCCTTCCATGCTGCCTGCTTGAGAAGTGACTTGGCTGGCAGGACAAGAGCAGCCCAATCTCCTCATCAGCCACTCCACCTAGAAGATGGCATACACTAGAGTAGATATTCTCTGGCAGAAAGGTGACAGCAAAGCTTGTGGCCTGAGCCACAGACTAAGAGCTAAGGATTCTGGGTTCCTTTAACCGCTGAAAAGAGCACTCAACATCTAGAATGAAATCTTCAGTTCAAATTTTTTCTCTGATACTAGCTATATGAACTTGGCCATGAACCTCCCATGAGCCTGTTTTCTCATATGTAAAATGGGGGTAAAAAAGCTCATATGACCTACTTCCCAGGTTAAGGAAAGCACTCTGTACCCCTTAAAGTGCTGTAGAAACACGGCATTATCATGTGCAAGACACTTGCCCTCTGGCTCCTTCAAGATCACCCCTTGGAGGGAATGGGTTATGACAAAGGAGTGGGTGGCATCTTGCTTCTGTGGTAGAAACCCCACTTCCCTGCAGTATCTGCCCTTCCCTGGGAGGCAGGAAAATATTTTCCAGGGAAGAAGCAAAGGTGGGAAGAGTTTTAGTCATATAGTAGACCAGTGATAGTATGAGGATTTGAACTCAGTGCCCATTTTTGAACCAGTATTCTACTGCTGGACCATACTGCCTCTCTCTCCTCTCTCTACTCTACAACTGAGTCTCTTATTCATTGCTGGCTCATTTCCATGGCAACTACTACAATAACAATTGTTATTAATCAATTCCTGCAGAATGGGGAAAAGTTTTTATCTGATTTGTTGGCTGGGACTAGCCCCTTCTCATCCAACAGGAGAGATCCCCCTTGGAGATACACATTAATCAAGGCCAGGATATTCCTTCTGCCTGGAGAGAGATAATTGATAGAATATGTGTGGAACTGACGACAGATGCCAGTGACAAGATGCTTGTTTTTCATTAAGCAATTTCCGAGCAATGGGAGCCCAGTTAGACAGATTCGGTCTCCTGATCTCTAGCTCAAATCAACATCTGGCCTTGGGAGCACTGGGGTCCCTTGCCACAGATCAATGCAAGCATATGGAGAAGAATTATCACTGTGGATCATGGAGTTTGAAAGGGGTGGGCTCTCTCCTCATCACCATCACCTCCACAACCACCATGCTTACATCATGTTTGACAGTTGACAAAGCACTGTGTTCGGAGCAATCCCATCAGTTAGGTAGGAGGCTACTGCACCAGATTAGGCAAGTGGCAATAATATCATGAACCAGAGTGTCAGTAATAGAAATGAAACACATGGGACAGAGACCAAAAGGAAAAACTGAAGAGATTGAGAGGGAAGACTCAAAGATGACTATGAAATGACTCCCAGATCTATTTCTTCAGCCCCATGTTCTCCCCTGATTTCCAGTCTCATATCTCCAACCACCTCCTGGACACCTTCATCTGAATGCCCTTTCGGCCTTTCAAATTCAACAAGTCCAAAACAAAATCTGTCTTCTTCCCTCCTAAACCTGCGCTCTGTATGGGAACACAGGCATACTCATATACTATAAGTGGACCTATGAATTGATCCAAGCCAGGGGTGGGGAACCTGCAACCTCGAGGCCCCATGTGGCCCTGTAGGTCCTCAAGTGTGGCCCTTTGAATCCAAACTTTACAGAACAAATCCTTTTATTAAGGGGATTTGTTCTGTAAAATTTGGCCTCAGTCAAAAGGCTACACCCAAGGACCTAGAAGGACACATGTGGCCTCGAGGCTGCAGCTTCTCTGCCCCCGGTCCAAGCAGTCTCAAAAGCAATTTAGAATTATGCTTAAAAAGCAAACTATCCATACCCTTTCACCCAGACATCTCACTGCTAAGTATATACCCCAACGAGTTCAAAGAGGGAAAGAAAGATGCCAAAATATTCATAGCAGGACTTCTTGTGATAGCAAAGAACTGGAAACAAAGTAGACGGCCATTGTTTGGGAAAGGGTGCGTGTACAAACTACAGTACATGAATGAAGAATACAGTGAAGTAAAGGAAAGACGTGAAACAAAGCAGAGTCAAGTAAGTACCAGAAGGAAAACAGCACACACGGCGATAACAATGGAAATGGAACAAACAACAAACTGAACACTTTGTAATTAGTAATAGCTAAGCTTGGCCCCGGAGAGTTGAGAAAATATACCTTCTTCTTTGAAGAGGAAGAGTATTACGTATGCTGTCAGACCTAATTGGTTTTGCTGAACTGCCTTCCTTCCTTTTTCTTTTTAAGTTTTGCTACTTGGGATGGCTTGCTAGGGAGGAAAGGGGAGGGGACAATGAAACGAAAATGAAATGAATGTAATGTTAAAATGAAAGATATTAATAAAAATGGAATTACATACATATACACACATATATACATATACATACATATATGTGTGTGTATGCATACACACACACAATCTGCATCTCCATCCACTACCTGTCTCTGCTGGGAATGATGGAAGATGATTCTCTAACCAATTCTGTGAATCTCCACTCTTCCCTTCCCTATTTTCCAAATTCATTTCAAATCTTCAGTGGCTTCATTTTCCCTTCAGTACCAAATATAGTCTGGCCTTTCAAGGCCTCCCATAATCTGGCCCAAACCTATCCATCCAACTTTATCCCTTAATCAAACCCCCCCTTACTGTAAAGATTGGGAAGCTGAGGCATAGGGAAATAAAGTGGCAGGCACTGGAGAATGTGGGATATGACCTCAGGCCCTCTGACTAGAAAGCCAGCGTTCCCAAGTGGGTCCTTGCTCAGGTATTACTCTTCGGATAGTACTTACTGGGGGCCCTGGGTCTCCAGGATCTCCGACTCCACCTGTTGTCCCGGGATGACCCTAGAAAGACAGAGGGGTAAGGGGAATAATTGTGATGAGCTCATAGGAATAAAGCTTTTTTTACTTCAAGCCCTGCCCTCAGCTAACCTGATTAACTGCAGCTAAGGTAGCATCAAGGTCACGGGTCAAGAGGCCAGGTCCCTGGGAACCCTAAGCTCTCTCCTCTTTAATGATGGGAAGGATGAATGGAAGGATCTTGAAGCATCCATTTGAGGTATGAGGAGAAGAAGGCAAAGAGGAGGAGATGGGATGACACGAGAATTACCTTCCCAGAGACAATAGATTAAACAATAAGCATTTATTTAGCATCTACTTTATAGGTGGAACTATCAGACTGGAGTTCATGGGAGAGACAAAAACAAAAATGAAACAGTGCTTGACTTCAAGGAGCTTACATTCTATTGGATGAGATAACATGTGCATATATAGGTGGATAAAAAATATTCACAAATTCAGTATGAGGTAAATTTGGAAGGTGCATTAGCAGCTGGGAAGGATCAGGAAAAGGTCATGCCGAAGGTATTTGAGCAGAGATCTGAAGGAAACTAAGGGGTAGAAGTGGGGTGGGAATGAATACCAAACATGGTGGACCACCATGGAGTGTTATGTGAGAACCAGTAGGAAGGTCAGCTTTGCTGGGGCTGAGAATGTAGGAATGAGAGTAATGAACAATAAGGTGGGAAAAGTAGGTTGGGGCCAAGTAGTGAAAGGCTTTAAAAGCTAAACAGAGGAACTTCTATTTGACTGCAGTTGCAATCGGGAGCCACTGGAGTTCATAGAGTAGGGGAGTGACATGGTCAGACCGCACTTTAGAAAAAGAGAGAGTGGGGATAGAGTGAGAGAATGCAGACTTACTCCTTACCATCGACCCCTTGGCTCCAGGAGCACCTGGTGGTCCCATTGCACCTCGGCCACCCTTCAGCAGAGGAGAAAACATCAATAAGTGCGTAGGAATCAACTGATCAATAAGCGTGTATTAAGCACCTCATGTACCAGGCATGATGCGAGGCAGAGAGGGTCAAAAACAAAAGTGAAAAGTCCCTGCCCTCAGGAGCTAACATTCCATCAGGAAGAGATCACTTGCACATAACTAGCAGTACATGAACTAGGCACAAAATAAATACTAGGTGATTTTGAGGGAGGAGAAAGCAGGCTGGGGATCAGAAAGTGGCACTTGAGCTGAGTCTTAAAGGACACAAGGTATTCTCAAAGTTCAAATCCTACCTCAAACACTTACAAATTGTGTCACCTTGGGCAAGTCACTTAACCTTGTTCAGCCTCAGTTTCCTCATCTGTAAAATGGGGATAACAATAGCACCTACCACACAGAATTAGTATGAGAATCAAGTGTAATTAGTGCTTTGCAAACTTTAAAGTGCTTTATAGATGTTAGTTTATTATCATTAAGATATAGAGGGAGGATTGTTATGGGAATTGCCATACATCTGAATGTCTGCTGTCCTGCGGTTTAATTGCTCCTGTCTATTCACACATCAGCTTCTCACCTAATCATGTTCAGCATCAGCCATCAGCCATAGATGTATCTACTCCAGATTGAGATATGGGCCTGGGATGAGATTACTGGGATAAAGTTCCCATTGATGGCATTGAACAACGTTCCTGCCTAATATCACGTCATCCTTTCCCTCCTTTATATGACATTTCAAGGCCAACTTTCTCTAGGAAGCCTTGCACAACAAAATTCCCCAATCCCAATCTATCCACGCAATCGCTGATGCCTTCCCTCCCCATTATCATTCAATATGCTTGGATAATGATTACATTCAAGGCCCTTCATAATCTAAATCCAACCCACAGGTACCCTGTCCTCCCACCAGCAGGAAGCAGCTGTGGGGTAGAGGGATGACCTTTGATATGTATTCCAAAGGCCCTGGCATGGAATGCTGGATCTATAAGGTACTTGCTGGGGCACCCTGGGCTAGTAAATTCACCTCATCTGTAGAATGGGGATGATAACACTTGAATAACTAATAGCCCGAGGTTGTTGTGAAGATCAAATGAAATGATATGAATACATCCAGCTCTTCAGCTCTCATCATTATTATTATTCACTTTTTCCTGAAAATACACTTTCATATCTTGTTCATGCTATCCCCTTTGCCTGAAATGTTTCCTCTCTGATTTCCTTTTAAAATCCTACTCAGACTTCAGATACCGCCTCTTCCATGAGTCTTCCTTGATTACTTCAGCCAGATATGATCTCTCCCTCCACAGAATTCTCAAAGCACTATTTGTACCCCTCCTCACTGCAATCTGCCTTCTATTGTTACCTGTGTAGCCTTAGATGATAAGCTCTCTGAGAAAAGACATGATGGCCTTATTTATCCTCCTAGCTCCCCCAAAGCTTAGCCTGGCACTGTCCTTCAGAGGCTCCAAAATGTTTGCTGAATGACATGCTAACCTAGACAGGGCCAGAGTCTCCAAGTGGCCCTCTGAAGCCACCTCATACACACGAGTGGGGATTTTCCTTCAGCAGAGATGGTTTTGATTAAGGAACTGCTAATTATATTGTTCCTTCTGATTGCTATTTGGTACCATTTGGTTCTGGTTTAAGTTTGGCTTGGGCTGGGTTGGATCTACAGAGGCAGATGTGTCAACAGAAGGCATTTCCTTCCCTTCCCACCCTTCCTATCTCTTTACTCCTCCCGTAACACACTCCACTCTTTCCCCAACTCCCTGGATGCCTGAGCAAGAACTGGATTCTGAGGAGCTGATCGATTGATCAGCTGCTACTCAACAAATAGGCAGTTTACACCAAAAATTATTTTGAACTGAGCTTTGTGCAGGGTGGGATGCTAGTGTGTAAGAGGTGGACTCTGCCCATTAGGGACATCACAGACTGACCTTGTTTTCAATAAGCCCATTATATTCTTAGCATTCACTCTGGGCCCAGGATTCTGTCACTGGGAATAGCTAGGCCTCTGTGTGGATGGCCATCTCTGATATTAGGGATACCTCTCTGGAAGTGGCCCTGCCCCATACAGGAGCTTCTGGAATCCTTAGAGAACACAGAGCTATTCAAGAACTAAGATCTGTGGCTAGCAGATACTATCCTGGCTGCTGTGACCCCTGGAGAACCAGGCTGTGTTTACACTGGTAATAGTCCTTATCTGTGTTGGACTGGGGGGTGGCAATGATAATCTGTAATGTCGCTTAACCTCTGTTTGCCTTAGTTTCTTCATCTGTTAAAGGGGGTAATAATAGCACCTACCTCCCAAGGTTATTGAGTGACTCAGATGAGATAATAATTGTAAAGTGCTTAGTAGTTAGTGCTATATAAATGTTAGTTATTATATTATTAATGTACCACGTTCCCAAATAGATTTCTGGTGGGCCGAAGTGAAATAAATCCTCTCTCCTTGAGGAATCAGGAAATGGAAATGGGCATCTCTTCTAGCTTTATACTCAATGAAGTGTTTTCAGATAGAAAGCAAATCCACTCAAGACATATGGATCACACTCCAAATCCATTACCTAATGCACCATGCAAGCAAATGGATGGATGCATCAAAGGAGTCCAGACTGAGGCCCATGTGGCTGTACCACTCTGGTCCTATTAACCAGCCCTCAGGGTTCTGGATGGCCCTGAGAAAGCAGAGTAGGTAGGTAAGACAAAGTGAGCAGAGCCTGGACGTGTGCAGGGGAAGCCAGGTGGTCCTGAAGGGAGTCATAGTTAAGCACCAAAGGGAATGGAAGACAGGAAAGGAATACAAGGCAGCCATGGAGAACACCAGACAATGGTCCTTTGACAGCTCGCTCCCTAGCCCCCAAATGCCAAGTTGCAACTTCTGCCAACAGAGCTTGTTCAGGTCTTTGGACGAGGAACAACGGAGCTAAGAGTAAACTGAGACAGGGTTTTAAATTCCTAAAACAGCAGCTTCCATCACCTTCCCCCACCCCCAAATGTGCTAGACTCCTTTATTTATTTTTTAAAATACAACCTACCTTCTCTCCGATGATTCCTGGCTCTCCGACCAGACCGATAAATCCCATCAGGCCCTATGAGAAACATTTTTTTTAAAAGCAGGAAAGAAAGTGAATTTGGGGATGTACTGGACTGTTAAAAGTGGTGGTGGGTTTTTTCTTTTCCCTGAGTTGAATTCTCCAAGTGTCTCTAGTTTACTGAACAGTAATTATTGGAGGGCAGCGGCACTGCTGGAGACAGGAGGGTTTGTCCCACTCTAGCCTCCCTCGCCCCAGCTGGTTCAGCTTTTTAAGCCAATTGGAGGATGGAGTGTCAGGGTTTCTGTGAGTTGCACACCCTCTGCCTACCCCAAAGATGGGTCCGGGAAGGTGGCCAGAACAGCGGAGCTCTCCAGCACAGAGGTGTCAAACACACAGCAACCTGAGGGCCCCAACACCACTGAGTACTGCCCAGACCAGAGGAAAATATAATTGGAAAATATTTCACAAAATAAATAAAAATACAATAGAACATAGACAATATTAATCTGTGGTTTTCTAATGGATCCTTATACAGGGTTTGTTGGCCTCCTTTTCTATTTGAGTTTGATACCATTGTTCTAATACAATTCAGAGAAGAAGGGGAAAAGATAGCCTAAGAAGTGGTTCCATTAGGACTTTGTTCCCGCATTCTGTGTCTCCTTGTTACTAAGTAAGAAACTACTTGCTACTAAGTAAGAAACCAAGAACTCCTGGGTCTGGACGAAGACATGAATATACACAGCCCAAGCCAAGGAAGCTGATTGAAATCTGGAAATCTGAGAACTTTTGCTATCTTTGCAAACCTTTCTTCTTCTCTATATTGAAAGGGAACACATAATAATTGTTGGTGTTCTTTTAAATTTTAACTGCCATGGTAAAATTACTCTGTGTTCTAAGAATGCCTCCCTGGCAGCTTTGGTGAGGAGGTATTGGTTCATCTTCCCTATGGGCAGGGATTCAAAATTTACCCCCATTTTTTTTGAGGGGGGGGGGAAGGATTGGGACAGAAAGCCTGTGGCCCAGAGTGTAAGGGACTTGAAAAAAAGTCATACAGACAGCCAGCACTAGAAGCTAGGGTATCTGATTCCCTTTCTAGCTGACCCTGCTTTCTCTTTTGAAGGAGAATACAATATGAGGTTTGATGGAATTTTGCAAAAATGGCTTTAGGGGTAGAGGAGGCGATTCAATTTTCAGCTGATGACTTCTTTTGCAGAATGGGTTTAAAAACATGCTAAGAGCTGCTTCTTAATCTACCAAATTTTGGCAAGAGGTGAATGATACTGATCTGTGCCCATTTAGAAAAAGAAGTCACCTGCCCTGATGTATTTTTGACAGATTAATTAGAGGAACATTAAATAACCAACCATTCGATTAACTCTTGGGTTTAATGTCCACGATCCAAAGGGAGGTTTTAAGAGGGCATAAAATTGCTACCAAATACAGAAAGAACATTTGACATTCAATGGATATTTGTAAAGCACAGAGCACTTTGCTATATGCACTGGGTATGTGTGGGGTTGGGGGAGGGAGACACAAAGTTTTGAAAAGCTTTTCTAGCCTTTTCTCTCCTAGAAGTGCAAACTCTTTCACATTAAATTAATTTAATTTAATTCACACATTTATCAAATGCCCACTATATGCAAATGGAGTATTAGCCCTGGTTTATCCACTGAATTGGATGGCACTTGAAGTAACAGCAGAGATGAATTAGCAATCCCATCTTCAATGTTAGTGTGCCCCAGGCCAGGTCACATTTATTTCCTTCTATATGGAACAAAGGCTTTCTAAAACACTACCCCACTTTAGAAAGCCCAAGACAATTCAGACATCCTCCTCTACCTACTGCCACTTTCAGGGAAGCCAATCAACCCCCCTCAATGCCAAGAAATAGAAGAACAGTGCTGCTATAAGGAACCAACACAAAGCCCTTGATGTTGGTATTGGCACATGGGGTGGCTAGGTGGCAAAGCAGGTAGAGCACTAGGTTCGGAGTCAGGAAGACCTGAGTTCAAATCCAGCCTCAGACACTTACTAGCTGTGTGACCCTGGGCTAAATGACTTGCCTCAGTTTCCTCATCTATAAAATGAGCCGAAGAGGGAAATGGCCAAGCACTGCAACATCTTTGCCAAGAAAACCCCAAATGGGGTCACAAGAGTCGGACAAGACTAAATTACAACAACGATCAGCACATTATTCATGCATGCCAGAAACAAAAGAAGAGACATCGTCGTATCATAAATAATACAATAAAAGAACATAGAGAAGCTGCCTGGTGCACTGGCTATGGCAGACTTGGAATGAGGAAGACCTGGGTTCAAATCCTACCTCAGACACTTACTAACTTAGTGGCCTTGTGCTAGGAAACCCTGGACGTGCCTGTCAGCTCTATCACTTACTGGCAGTCTGACTTTGTTACAAGTTATTTGTTCTATCACGTTTCCTTCTCTGAAGAATGAGGTGATTGGACTAGATGCCTTCCAAAGTCCCTTCCCACTCAGACATTCCGCAAATATATGACGTTCCCTCTGACTTACCTGTATTATTACTAAACTTATACCACCCAGGCGATCAAAGAAGGAGAGAAAGGACCCACACGTACACACAAAAATATTCATAGCAGCTTTTTGTAGTGGCAAAGAACTGCTAACTAAGACGGTTTCCCATCAAGTAGGGTATGGCTGAACAAATTATGGCATACGAATATAACAGAGTGCTCTAAGATAGGAAGAAAAGAGTCGGTTTTAGGCAAACCTGGAAAGACTTGTTAGGAACTGATGCAGAGTAAAGTGGGCAGAACCTGAAGAATAATTTCTATAACAACGAAATTATAAAAACAAACATTTGTTTAAAAGACTTAAGAATTCCAATCAACACAATGGGCTTTCTTTTAAAAGTCTGATTTCTGTGGGTGCTTTAAAGCACAGAATGGGGATGCTTGTGAGAAAAAGGCACATGGTCCTATAGCCTGAGACATTTATAATATGGAAAAAGGGAACATGTTGCCCCTTAAAAAACATTTTTCCTTGCCTGCTTTGGGGAAAAAAAACTTCCCTGACCCTGAAAGCAGGCTTCTGCTCTGCACTCATAGGACTTCTCCTAGGTAGGGATGGCTGCTTTCTATCCTTATTCCCAATCATTTATTTTTGGAAACAAGTTTTCTGACCGTCCCCCTCCACCCACCTCTGCCAATGACTCCTTGGGATCCTATGGCAAAAGGGTTAACCATAAAAAGGACCCTCCCTTCAAAAGGGGACAGATGGTCACTCTCCATGGGGCCCCATACCAAGAATGCCCATGGAAGCGCATCAAGGAAGCTCTGTGCTAAGGGGCTACTCCCTGCCAGGTTGGCTGAGGAAAAGCAGAATTTCATAGCTACTTTATATTTATGGGTTACTGGGTATTGGATCCCAGACAGGTCATAAAGCTCTAACAAGAATTCAAACAGAATCCTAATGAATAGCATTCATACAGTCAAGGCCTCCTGGGGCCAGCCCAGTGGCATGCAAGTTGCTAAATACACCACCCCAGAAAACACCTGGAAGGACTAGAAGGGCTGGGGCAGAAATCTCCCAGCCAAGGCTGCCATGATTGTGGATTCTTCACGTTCTTTCTAAGAACCTGGTTTCAATGACCCTGTTAGCTTCTCCTGCTTAGGGCATGAGCAGGAACAGGAGCAATTCCACTCTAGGTCCTGACCCCTTGCCATTAATGGATAATAAATAATAATAAATGACAATTCTCTAACACTGTAAGTTGAAAAGAAGGTGCCAGATCTGCATTTGGTAGAGAAAGCTCCACATGTAGAGGTGCCTCCACTGTTTAGATCACAGGTTCAGTCCAAAAAAAAAAAATTACTAGCTTACATTAATAGGGATCTTTAAGGCTTGTAAAGTTCCTTATGTATATAGTCTCATTACTCCTGCCAGGCAAGTGTTACAAGTATTACTCCCATTTTACAGATGAGAAAACCAAGGCTTGGAAATAGAAAGTGGGTAGTAATGTGTAAGAAGACTAGAAAAACAGGAAGGAGACCACAGTGAAGAGCTTTAAATGGCAAATAGAGGAATTTGGTTTTGATCCTAGAAGTAATAGGACCTCAACTTTCTCATTTGTAAAATAAGGGGATAGATCTCACGGATTATTAACCTGGAATCTGTGAACTTTAAAAAATATATATTTTGATAACTGTAATTCAGTATAATTGGTTTCCTTTGTAGTTCTATGTATTTTATTTTATTCATTTAAAAGCATTATTCTGTGAAGGGCTTCATAGGCTTCACCATATTGCCAAGGGAGTCTATGACACCAGAGAAGGTTAAGCACTTTTGGTCTGAATGACCTTTAAGGTCCCTTTGAGCTCCGTGTTTATGATCATACGGAACAACAGATGATGGAGGAGGGGAAGGAAGGGCAGGGCAATGAAGAACCCGTCCTCTCATTTGTACTCCTGTACCTACTTTAAGGGTGATACTTTAAGTTTCAATCAATCAAAAAGCATTCATTAAGTGCCTACTATGTTCCAGGCACTGTGCTAAGCACTGGAGATACAAAAAGAGGCAAAATATAGTTCCTGCCTTCAAGGAGCTCCAAGGTAAGCACGAGGAAGCCAGATGCTCCCAGTTCCCCTGGGGGAGTCAGACAGCCTATTTGTTAGTTATATGGAACACCATCCACAGCCCTGAAACACTGACGGGCTGAGAGTAGGGGAGGGGACAGACTGTAGAAAAATCACATGGGATCAGTGGGCCCACCAACTCAGCACAGGTCGGCTCTGATTAATAGCATCATTGTTCCAGTAGAAGAATGTGAACTATTTATATAGATCTCACAATTCGAACACTCTCTCTGAGCAAACACAGTGTGGACAGGGTGAATGGGGGAAGAGGAAGGGGTTGAGGTTGGGCTGATCTGGGAGGGGGGCAGCTAAGGAAGCCATTCCAAGGTTACCTGTGGCTCAAGCATCTACTTCCCCAACCCATCGGAAAGGAGTTCGGCCGCAGCTCTCTGTTCCTTTGCTTCAGGCAAGATGGGTGGGGGAGAAGGGAAGGAAATGGGTTTATCCATAACTTGTGTTTTAATGACTGCCTCATTTGGGGGGTTTTGACCTTCTCTGCCATCATGCCTCTCCCAAAAACGACTGTGGGAAATGATGAAATTAGGCTATCTCCATGGGATATTCCACAAGATCTGATCATTCACTGCCAGACCAAATCAGATTGTCTCCCACTGTCTTACTATATCTAGGTCAAATCTAGCTAAATGGACATCAAGGGCAGTCTTGGAGGAGGGAAAGGTGACCTGCGGCTGGAGGTGGGTGTGTGGAAAGGATCCAGGAAAGGGTGCATTGTAGCCAGCTCCAGTCACATCCACAGGACTCACCTAGTGATGGCTGAAGGCAAAGTCCTGTGGTTGATCGTATGTCTGTATGTATGTTTCTGCGAAGGAGCTCATAAGTTCCCTAAGGCAGCCCCAGTCTATGATTGGACAGCTTTGATCATCAGAAGAATCTGATCATTTGATCATCATCTGCTTCTGTGAAACTTCCACACACTGGTCCTGCTCCTCTCTGCTGAGGCTACATAGAGTAATACTACTTTTCTCCTTCTGTTTGATGAATTCTCCCTTGATTGTCTGAGCTTAGGAGAAATTCCTAAGCAAACTCCTCATAAAGATATGAAGTGACATCTTCCAGCAGAGAAAATATTGAGATAATGAGATATCTCAAATTAGATAATGTATGTGAAAGCACCAGAGTCTGGCATAGTAGGTACTTGATACATCCTCGTTGACTGAAATTATATAAATAGGGAAGCTAGCTGGCGCAGTGGATAGAACACCAGCCCTGGATTCAGGAGGACCTGAGTTCAAATCTGGCCTCAGACACATAATAACACTTACTAGCTGTGTGACCCTAGACAAGTCACTTAACCCCATTGCCTAGCCCACCCCCCCCCAAAAATGAAATTATATAAATATAAGATAGTTTTCAAGGCAGTGTGGCATGGTTGATAGAGAGTTGGCTTCCAAACCAGGAAGACCTGGGTTCAAGTTCTAAGTCAGGCAAATACTGGTTGTGTGACCATGGTGCTCTCCTAGTCATGGTCATTCCTTGGTTCAACCCAAGCTGTGGTTAAAGTCTACTCAGAGAAACTGTCATCTCCATCTCAGGCTGCTGCGGATTTTCTATCCAATTGGACCCTGAGTTCTGTCCAAATTTCCTCTACCTACTAGTAGGAAGAATTAAGGACACCTTTAGTGTCAAGATGTTTGCTCTTTAATTAACCAAATATTTACTAGGCAAATCCTGGTGGCAGAATGTGAAGAAGAATTAAGAAGCCTCTTGATAAGGGTGAAAGAGGGGAGTGTAAAAGCTGGCTTGAAGCTTAACATTAAAAAAATGAAGATCTTGGCAACTGGTACCATCACTTCCTAGCAAATAAAGGGAGAAGAAATGGAAGCAGTGTCAGATTTATATTCTTGGGCTCAAAGATCACTGCAGATGACGACTGTAACCATGAAATTAAAAGTTGCTTGGGCTTGCTCCTTGGAAAGAAAACTGTGGCAAATCTGGACAGCACACTAAAAAGCAGAGACATCACCTTTCTGATAAAGGTCCATATAGTCAAAGCTATGGTCTTTCCAGTAGCAATGCATGGCTGTGAGAGTTGGACTATGAGGAAAGCTGAGTGCCACAGAATCGATGCTTTCAAACTGTGGTGCTGGAGAAGACTTTTGAGAGTCTCTTGGACAGCAAGAAGATCAAATCAGTCAATACTTAAGGAAATTAATTCAGGCTATTAACCAGAAGGTCAAATACTAAAGCTGAAGCTTAAATACTTTGGCCACATAATGAGAAGACGGGACTCATTGGAAAAGACCCTGATGGTGGGAAAGATTGAAGGCAAAAGGCAAAAGGGATGGCAGAGGACAAGGTGGGTAGATGGCATCATGGAAACAATGGACATGAACTTGGCTAGACTTTGAGAGCTTAGTGGAGAATAGAAGGTCCTGGCATGCTATCGTCCATAGGGTCAAGAAGAGCTGGACATGACTAAACAACAATACTAGGCTAATAGGTGATATATGGGATAGAGGATTAGACTTAGAGACAGGAAAATCTGAGTTCAAATCCACTCTCAGGCACTTACTGCTGTATGACCCTGGGGAAGTCATGACTTCTTTCACCCTCAGTTTCCTCCTCTGTAAAATGGTGATAACAGCACCTATTTTACAGGGATGTTGTGAGGATCAAATAAGATGTTTTGTGTGTGTGTGTATATATGCGTGTGTGTGTGTGTGTGTGTGTGTGTGTGTATGTAGCACTTTGCAAACCATGAAGTGCTATATACATCCTAGTTACTGTTGTTGTTATATATTTGTTTCCCACGTGCCTATTACTACTGTGACATTAAAATAAATTCACTGATTACTTTTTAAAATTCATTCTAATAGGCAAAAAAACCAAGGTGCCTGCAGACCTTTCTAAATTCTTAGTTTTCCTCCAGAACATGCTTAAAGAACATTGGAATTATTTCAAAATTCTCAACTGCTCTTTCTCCCTACTATCAGCCCTCCAATCCACCCCTAAACTGAGGCAAAACGGTTAGGTGCTACATTGTAGGCCTCCCTCCTCCCTTCTGTGTCCTGGCATTTCCATTCATTGACAATTTTTCCAGGGCTCCTGGATGTCAGCTTCCAGAGACTCCTTTCCTCTACCGCAGGCCTGAGAATGATGCCTTACAGGGCTTCTCCAGGAGGTAAAGGAACATGGACAATATGTGAGAGTTGGGAAACAAACACGCAGCTTTTCTCTATCCTGGCTTCATCCAAAGTTAAAGTCTTGCCTAAATATTGGGAGCACTTCAATCCCTTTACCTCAGAGAGATTTTACTTTTCAGGGGTCAGTGGGCCTAGTTGGGAGAGAGTGAGATAACACAATCTGGATCCAGCCACAAATATCCCCAGAACCAGGTCTCTGATATCTCTGGCATGGGGGTAAAGCATAGTCTGGATAAATGAATCATCACAGATCCTCCTCATAGCCAGTGATTATTTCCTCTTCTCCCTAGGCCTTTGCTAGAGCCTCCAATAAAGTCATAGCTATCAGGTGACCAGACTGGAACACTAGCTGTTTTCCAAACTTGACCTGCCATTCTTTGTCTCCCTACGTACACACAAGTCATCTTGCAGGCCTGAAATGCTCTCTCCTCATTCTCAATCCTTGTCTTTCCTCCCACCCCGACTCATAATTGTCAGTGCTCTCTGCCTCCTTGATTTTCCTTGTCCTATACTTACTTGTGTACATGTGCTTTCTTAGTAGAATGTAGGCTCCCTGAGGTCAGAGACTGTTTCATTTTGGTCTTTGTATCCCCAGTGCTTAGCACATGATAACATCTAATATCTAATGGAATTGAAATGAACTGGGGGAGTGCTACACTGGGAGTCTGAAGACCTGGTTTAGGTCTTGTCTCTGCCATTTCCTAGACCTGTGGCCACAAAAAAGCAATTTCACCCCTTCCAACCTTTATCTATAAAAATGCAGATAATGACCTACCTGCTTATGGGGTTGTTGTGAGAATCACATGAGAGAATGTATGTGAAAGCACCAGCACTTAGCAGTGCCTGGCACATGGTAAGTGCTTAATAAATCCTTACTGACTGACATTATATAAATACAGGATATTTTTCAAGGCAACGTAGCACAGTTGATAGAGATCTGGCCTCAAAACCAGGAAGACCTTGGATTCAAGTTCTAAGTTAGACACATCCTGGCTGTAGGACCCTGGGAAAGTCACTTAAACTCCCTGTGCCTCTGGACAGGCCTCTAAGGCTATAGGTTATAGAGAAGGTGCTAGCTTGCATTGGTAGAGGGCATTTCCTCACCTGGGAGTTCTGTACACCCATGAAATCACAGGTCTAATCCCTGTTCCTAGCCCCTATTATTCACCACTGACTAAAATCAGGAGATAAAGGTTAGTCCCAGCTTTTCCATTTATTAGCAGTGTTAACAGTGGACAAATTACTTCATTTGTATGGGCCTCAGTTTCCTTATCTGTAAATCAGGAATAATATCTATTTCATTGAGCTATTATAGCATAAGGTGGGGGATGAAGATGACGTGCTCTGTGAGCTGTACTCATGTAAGGTATTATCATTATTTTCATCAACAATAGCAGCAGCATCCTAATTTAGGGGCCTATTCTCAAGGGGAGACTAAAACCAGCAGTGAAAAGGCCAAAAATGTAACAAAAGAGGAGGAAGAGAAGGGAAGCGACTGGGGAATCTGGATGTTGAATGGATAATCAAGTCCTAAGTCCCTGAGATCTAGCCCAAGGCTGGCTGACGCACTAGTTCAGGGGCGGATTTGTTTTATAAAATTTGGATTCAGTCAAAAGGATCTAGAAGGCCACATGTGGCCTCAAGGCCGCAGGCTCCCTACCCTTGCATCAGTTTAAGCGAAATTAGAAAGTCAATGACATACCTGCTCACCCGTTCTTCCAGGCCGACCCGCGTTTCCTGGCTCACCCTGCAATGAGACCAGGAGGAAAGTCACCAGGGGATTGGAGAAAGAAGGCCAACCATTGGTGTCAAAAGCTAGACTGCAGTCCCCAAGCTCGGGTCCATTTCTGATTTATCCAAGGAAAACTCAGATGCAGGGCTCAGGAGAAGTTTTCAGCCAATCATTCCAGAGCTGTGGAATAAGCTGTCTCATCCAAGGGGCTCTATGCTATACATGGCTCTCCCTCCCACTACTCTGCCATTTTAGACAGTTAGCTTGGCCACAGGCCATAACAGAAAGAAGTGTTAGACTGTGGAAGAAAATTTACAGAAGAGCAAGGAACAGAATAGGCCAGAGACAAGGAAACTAAGAGCTGATTGTGTCTAGAGCCATGAAATGGTTCAGTGGATACAGTACTGGGCCTGGAGTCAGGAAGATCTGAATTCAAAACTTGCCTTAGACACTTACTAGCTGCATGACCCTGGCCAAGTTATTTAACTCCCGTTTCCCTCAGTTTTCTCCACTATAAATTGGGGATAATGATAGCACCCACATATCAGGGTTGTAGTGAGGATTAAGTGAGATAATATCTGTAAACCTCTTAGCAGAATGCCTGGCACATAGTAGGTGCTATATAAATGCTCATTCCCTTGCCAGCAGCCAATTACTATTTCCAAGAAGCCTCTGGGCTCATTGAAGGAGGGCAAGAATTAAGGTATAGCCTCGAAGTCATAGATTACTGGATTTTAAATTTAGAGCTGAGTTGGACCTCAGAAGTGATCTAGCCCAACCCCTTCATTTTACAGATGAAGAAGCTGAGATCCAGAATGGTTAATTAACTTGCCCAAGATGACGCAGGTCTCAGTTCTAGGTCTTCTGATTCTAAAGTCAATATCCTTTCCATCCTACCAGTTCCCACACTGTAATGGGTCTCAATGCCTCCTTCTATTTGGCCTATGAGCATGATGACTATGTCTCATGAATATAACCCCATGCACAAGATATGTAATTCACAGCATGGTCTGACTGACTCCAGAGCCCTGGGCACGAACATTCTACAAGGACATCAGAAATGCCCCTTGGGTCAGCTCCAGTAACCACCTATTCTAGGAATATGAAGATCAACCACTAGCGGGAGGCCACAGCTATCTTCTATGACTCAACCTTCATGGACATCCTGTGAAGAGAACAGGGCTTGGGAATTAGGAAGCTCAGATTTTAGGTCTGGTTTTAACACTTACCATATGACTCCAGGCAACTTAATTCCCTGTCTAGATCCCCGTTTCTGCCTATGTGAAATAAAGGCCTTGGACCAAATAATGTTGAATGTCCTTTCCAACTATGACATTCTGACGATTTCTCAAACACCCATAAATTACTTTAATTAAAGCCATTATGAATCTATCATGTCTGAAGTTTTCATCCCTTCTTGGTCTTGCCTGACTTGTTCCTGCAGCCTGGAGATGGAGTGGCTATTACTTTAAGGCCAAGAGGACATGGAGTGAAAATAAGAAACCTCAACCTCCCTATCCTCCCCCCACCTCCACCATATCCACAAGACCAGTGACATGGAAAGAGGCAAACAGAGAGGGGAAGCCACATGGGTTTGTAAAACAACATGTAATATGCTAAAGGCTCGTCATTCCTTCTGCCACAGAAACCAAGCCAGGATGCATAAAGAAGAAGGGTCCAGGCTTCTGTGGGGCTGCTGACCACAGGTTGTGCCTGGCAAGGAGTTTTCCTGATCCCTTAGGTTTAAAACTAGACTGGGCCAATTGCACTTATAATCCATTCTCGGTATTCCACACAAAATGCGTCATTTACATACCCTTCTATCTTCCCCCAACAAATCCTTTGTCACAGAGCTCAGGGTACAAGTGTCTCACCATCACAGAGTCCCATTGACATGAAAAGGAGCAGAAAGTAGAGGGCAAGGATAGCACATTACTCATGAGTCCTGGTACTTAATGTTGAGGATACTGAGAAAAACCTGACCTGGTTCTGCCACTTACTAGTAGCTATTTGGCTGTAGGAAAACCCATTGGCATCTCTGGGTCTCAGTTTCTTCAACTGTAAAATGGGAATAATAACCTTTACCTTGCCTGCACTGCAGGGATGTTGTGAGGATTGAATGAAATCAAGGATGTAAAAGAGCTTTATGGCCAAGGAATATAAAATATCAGCCTGAGTTATCATATCATCACTTTTGTTAATATTATTTATATTTATTCATGGGCATGCGGGCCAGCACTTGGTTTCACAGGCAGCTCTGTGCTATTTGATTTCTCCATTGCTCAACCTATCCCCATCATCAGGTCCCTATTCTCCAAGTCCCCATCCCCAGCATCTCTAGTCTTGGTCGGACAGTCATTTTAAAATCCTTGTTACCTTGGAGCCATCAGGGCCAGGCCTTCCTGGAAATCCTTTCCTGCCAAGTTGACCCTGAAAAACAAAGGTGATTTGGGAGGAGGACAAAGTCAAGGAAAGAGGCATGACTGAAGCCCCCTGGTTGCTCGGGGTACCTAAGAATAGTCCAGGCACATGAAGAGTGATAAGGGTCAGAGAACAGACCCTTCATTTAAAAAAAAATCTATCTATTGATAGCAAGAACTCTAAAAATGTTTTAAAAATTATTTTTAATATCATTTTATTTAAATTTTATTTAAATATCATGATATTTATAATATCATTTTTAAAAATTTTGATTTACAAATTCTCTCTCTCTTTCTCTCTAGCCCCTCTCCTATCCACTGAGAAGATAAGCAGTATGATACCCATCATCCACGTGAAGTCATGCAAAACCTATTTCCATATTAGCCAGAACAGACCCTTAACATGGGCAGTTAACAGAGGACTACCAGGTCATGATGAGAAGATATTCAAAATGGACTTTTGTTGGTCTTGTAGTGGCACAGTAATATGGTAGAAAGGGCCTTGGATGGGTGCTGATGGGTCCTAGATTTTACTCCCAGTTTGACTATTTGACGTAGTCAAGCATTGCTTGGGCAAACCATTGCACCTCCCATTGTGCCTCAGTTTCCCCATCTATTGGATGGGGATCATAATATCTGCCATCTCTACCCTACAGATTGTTGGGAGGGTGAAGAGAAGGGGAACAGATTGAACAAAGCTTTGTAAAAATTAAAGTGGGTTAGGGAGAGGGGCTGGACCTCTGATTTAATTGATACAGAGAACTCCTGATGAGGAAACTTCCTCTACCCTCTGCATGTTGGTACCTTCTCTGCACCTCACAGGCACTGAGTTGTCAGGAATACAGAGAAACTCAATGACTTGCCCAGGGTCATAGAGCCAGTATGCATATGAGGCAGGATTAAAAGAGGCCCGGAAAAAATAATAAAAGGCTATTTCAAACTTTAATTAGTTTGTGCAATTACTTGTCTAACACAGGGGGCTAGATCATATTACTGGTCAAGGTCTCCTCTGGGCCTAAGATCTCAAGGGATTATTGGCTAGGCCAAGGTTAGTAAACTTGGCATCCTGTCATCAGTGACAGGTTTTTTTAGCTTTTTCTTGTGCTCTTACACACACTGGCTAAAGCTTATCCCCAGGGCTTTTGCCTTTCCTTTTCCATCATACCTAACTTGGAACTACCAAAACCCCACGTGGCATAGTGACCAGGACACTTACCTCTAACCCAGGGGATCCTGGTGGCCCTGTTGGTCCTTCATCTCCCTAAAGACCAGGGGACAAAAGAGGAAAAAGAGATGGAGAGCACAAAATCAGGGAGCTCCATCAGCTTCACACCAGCACAATGACACAAACTTCCTGAGTCCAGTTTCCCTCTTTCCTTCCCCATGGTTACTGAGAAGCCCAAGGAGAACAGGCTCGTGAAGTACTTGGAGCATCTCTAAAGGGAAGGGTGGCATCGATCAATTTATGTGCTGAGCTATTGAGGGGCAATCGCTACCAGCTATTGTGTAGCTCCATCCTGAAGACAGTTAACTGGGATTTGAATAAAGAGTAATCCTTTAAAATAGCCCTGAAACAGCCCGTGGCCCTAAAAAAATAACGAACCTAGGACATTTTGTCTCAGGAGAGCATAGCCTTGACACATTTAGCCTCAGGAGAAAGGAATCACACCATCTGATGCCCCTCTTGGCTTCCAGGTTGTAGATTTCTATTGTAGATTAGATTATCTTTTAGTGAGCCTAGGATCAACCCCCACCTAGAGGGAAAACTGTAGACCCCAATGGACTAGAAAGGAGAGCAAACTCTTACTAGAAACATCTAGGTGAATGTTTCTGATAAGTGCTTTTGCAGAGTCAGTGTGTTAGACTCAAGTTCCACAGGCCATATCCATACCTTTGAAGCTTGTGTGGTCTACCTGGCTACATAACATATGCCTAACGCTGGCCAGTTATCTACAAATTGTGCCGATGGTCAAAAGAGTGTGGATGGCACAACGCAACACATCCTACCAATGGGAAGGGGGAAAAACATGACAAAACATATAATGCTGAGTAGGTAATAATACCGTGTAGGTAGTTTCAATGTGAAGGACATTATAACTGATATTTATAAAACAGTAAATAAGTATAGTGCAGCTAGATGGCACAGTGGACAGATTTCCAGGCCGGGAGTCAGGAAAACTCATCTTCCTGAGTTCAAACCCTCCCTCAGACACTTCCTAGCTGTGTGGCCCTGGGCAAATCACTTAACCCTGTTGGCCTCAGTTTCCTCAGCTATAAAATGAGCTGGAGAAGGAAATGGCAAACCAACTCTAGCATCTTTGCCAAGAAAACCCCGAATGGGGTCACAAAGAATTTGGACACAACTGAACAACAAAAACAAAAAAAGTACAGGCCACTGAGCTAAAAGTTGCAGATTATACAAAGATACACAAGACAAAATCCCTGCCCTAAGAAGGGGAACTGTATTTGAGAGTATCACCAAAGTTTGAAGAAGGAGAAAGGATATGCTGTAAAATGAACCCCAGACCCCTGTTCACAAGACAGATGTTTTAAACAGCTAAGCCACCAGTACTATCACACAATGCCAAGACCAGAGAAGAAATCTGCATGACAAAACTACTGCATTGAGGGTTTCCTTAGGTTTTAAGAAGGTTCTGGAATGTGCTGAACTTCCCCATGAATACTTGGGAAGAGAAATGAATTTGAAGTCAGAGGACTTCACTCTGGCTCCACTACCTACTCCCTATACAATCCTGGGCAAACCATAGCATGGTGCCTTGAAAAGTGCCATTTGGACTGAAAGGACCTGGTCTGGATCTTGGCTCCACCTGTGTGACCCTGGGCAAGTCATTTTATCAGGCTAGTTTCCACAAATGTAAAATTAGGAGACTGGACCAAGTAACGTCCAATGTGTCTTCTTGCTCTAAATCTGTGATCTTAATCATTCTAGACTTCAGTTTCCTTATATGCAAAATGAGGGGGTCTCAGACATCCTCTGATATCTTAGCTCTCATTCATGTCCAATCCTCTCCTCATATAGAGGTCCCACCAGTTCTGGGTCACCTATTCCATGCTGCTCCTCATGTATAAGCTTCCAGGAAAACCACCACCAAATAGCAAAGCAGCCTCTCCCAGAAATGGCACAAGTGGCTTCGGATCTTGCAAGGGGCTCTGAACCAAGCCAGGGAAAGGGGATCTGTAGCAGCAGGATGCCTGTATGTGGTTGTAGGAAGACAAGATTCTCCCTGACTCCTTAACCCAGTGCTCTATATCAGGACTCACCCTAGGCCGACATAGAAGAGTAGGAAAGGTTCTGGAGAGTGAGAAGACAAAGCAATGTAAATGGAAAGAACATCAGATTTGAGCTAGAAGACTTGAGTTTGAATCCTGCCTGTACTGTTCAAAAGTCTTTTTTTTCCCTTCTGAGCCTCAATTTCCCAGAGAAGGCAGGACTCAATCCTAGGACCTTAGATTTAGAGCCAGAAGAGACTTTAGAAGTCATTTAATCCAACTCTTTCATTTTATAGACAAGGAAACTGAGGCCTCAAGAAGTTAAGTGACTTACCTAAGGTCACACAGGTGGTAAATATCAGAGCCAAGATTTGAACCCAAATCTTCTGATTCCAAATCAAGGGCTTATTCCACTGCCCAGTGCTGTGTCCTGTCAAGATGATCTCTAAGATCCTTTTCACTTCCAAATCCTCCAGTCCTTTTAGTCTCTGGAACATCTGCTTAATATTCATAGACCATAGTAGACTGTCCCCCAGCAGTCCTCAAGCCAATGGTTTCTTCATTTGCCTGAAAGCTATCTCTTGCTTTCTCTTCTCTATTCTTTCTCAATTTTTTCTCACTGAACCAAGTCACATTAGGAGTGGAAAGTGAAGAGATTCTCAGAAAAAAAATAGTAAGAAGGTTCTCTAGTAGGGGTGGGGGGGAAAGATTGAAGAAAATAATGGGATCCGTGAGCTTTTAGACCTAGAATGGACCTCAGAAGTCCTTTATGACATTCCTGAAAAGCAGTTATCCAGCTTGTTGAAGATCTCCAGGGATGAAGACCTCAAGATATCCTGAGATAGCAGTGTTCCCCAAGTCCCTGCTTGGAGATATCCCATCCCCAACCCACCATTATCCACGTGTCTCTAATATGAATACTGAACCCCAGCCTACTGGGCCTCTTCCCCAGTGGCTTCCAGGCACAGTGAGGGAAGGATTCCAACCTCCAAATGCCCACAGCCAAGCACGGCCAAGAGCTCAAGTTCAGAGACAGGGAAACATGCCAGGGAGGTGACTCCAGGGAGGGCAGCAGATGGAGCCAGGCTGTCTCACCTCCTGCCCAAGCTCTCCTCTCGGTCCTGGTAAGCCTCGGGCTCCTGGCTTGCCCTGAAGAGAAGAGAAAAGAAAGGGGTCTCAGAAGATCGGAGCCTGTACTCCAAGGGACCATTGACACAGACAAGATGCCTCTAGCCTTCTAGCACATGCTACCACGGGACAGCATCCAATATCAATTCCGCCGTGGAGAAAACTCTTGGAGGGCCCTCAATGCAAACATCCCAAACCCAGGATTGAGCCAGAAGAATCTCCGGCCATTTTCCCCCGCATTTCCACATGCCTCCTCCTCCCAGCTTCCCTGCCCATCTCGCTCAGCTGTTTCCATCTAAGCACAAAGCTGCTATTGGCCACCAACTCACCTTCGCACCTTCTGGACCATTCTGGCCTGGTGGTCCTATATCCCCTGGGAATCCCTACATGGAAAAAGAAAGGCAGAGACCATGCATGCATGACCGACATTGGACATAACAAGCAGGATCTAGGGGGAGGTAATGCCCACCCTATTCCTCAAACACAGCACAGAACAACACTGGACTCTGGGTTAACCTCAGCCAGGACACGTCCCCTTCTTCGAGGCTATTTTGAATTTTGTGTCCCGAGGAGGGGGTGGGGGAAGCGGTGGGACACTTGGAGATGCCCTTGATTTCCTCGAATGAGGATTTGGCCCTTACATTGCTAATCAGTGGCTGGCACTCACACACATGTGCTCTTACTGATGAATCAAAGTACTCCCCTCTCCACAGGAAAAGGGAGGGGAAAACTGAAGAGTGATGACACGCCCGTCAGCTTCTGTCTGCAACTAAGCTGAATCCTGTCCACTCCACCCCAGTGGTCAAGGACGACTGAAAAATACGCCCTACCATCCCATGGAAACAAAGAGGGATGCAGGAGCTGCTGTTTGGGTTCTTTGAAGAAGAACCCGGTCACAGCCAAATGCCAGGACGCTGATGAAAGGGTAAGGCTTGTCGGCCAGCCTTGGAGAAAAGCTCTCAGGTACTCACAGAGCCTCCTCCTTGGGGACCAATGAAAGGAGATAGGGCCATCAAAAAGTGGCTGAGCCTGGCATTCTAAAGATAGTCCTGCTCCAAGGCCAAAGTCAGCATTGTGATGGATTAAATGTCCCAGCTAGTGGGCCCTGTTTGGATGCCAGGTGGATTATGGGGCCAGGAAGGAGATGCTTGCTAAGCCCAGAGTGGTGCAGGGAGCAATGGCATCACTTCCACTGGCCCTGCACCATACAACAAAAGGCTACACCTCTCTCCAGAGCTTTCCAACCCCCTTTCTTAATCAGGTATCTCCTGCGGCCATGAAGGTGAGACTGGAAGATACAGACACATCCTAGTGCCACAGGAAACATTCCCTTGTCCACAGGGCTCCCCAGAGGCACGGCAATGAGAATCTTTGGAATGATTCAGGAAGCTAACTACAGCCAAAGACCTTTTGTCTTGGACAGCGAGAGGCCTCACTGAGAGCCAAGTACAGCAGGTCAGGCTGCTGTTGGGCTCGGTGGGTTCCTGAGGCCAGCCTGATTTCAGCTGGGATCTGACCGGGACCAGTCAGGCCTGGGGCTCCCTCTACTGAAAGATCCCTTGTTCTGAGAGCCCTGAGGAGACTAGATCCATTTTTTCCCTCAACTTCCTTCTTTTACTCTCCACAGTTCCCCCAGATCCCCAGCCTACTAAAGTCTCAAGGCCCTGATATAACATTATTAAAAAGAGGGAGGAAAAACACCATACCGTTGGACAGGGCTGTCAAATTGTATCAGCTGCATCAAAAAAATCTACCCACATATGCTGTGTACATGATTACAGGGCTCAGGAGGTATTCAAAGAGAGGGGACTTGGAAGTCTCAGGACATAACTCTACATAACTGGCATCTCTGAGCCCAAGCACTCTGTGAATGACCTATAAAGATAGCCTTGATCTGATGGAAAGAAGGAAAGACTAGATCTCTTAGCAAGTTCTCTCCAATTTAAAATATCAACCCCTCCCTCCCCCAACTTCCAACAGCACACCTGCCAAACAATGCTTTGGGGAACTCTGGGGGACTCCCCAGCAACGGCCAAAGGTCAGGAGCCCAAGGAGGAAAGGAGTCAGAAGGGGAAAAAACAATACCTCACCATCAGAGTTCTAGGACATAAATAAACCAAGCAGCCACATACCTCAGGGCCTGGAGGCCCAGGAAACCCAACTGGTCCTTTGTCACCAGATTTGCCCTAAGGGGCAGAGAAGACAGGGAGGGAAGAGGTGAGTGCCAGACACACAGTCTCCCAGAAGCCACAGTCCCCCAGGTAGAAGGTGGGGGATGTTAAGGGGCAAGAGATTTGGAAACAAATGAAGAAGGCTTACTTACTGGGGGACCTGGCTTTCCTCGAGCACCTGGTGACCCCGATGTTCCCTGGCTCCCCTGCAAAGCACAGACCAGTGACATTAGGAGAAAGAAGAGAATTTCAAGGAAAACATCATTTGGCCTTGGTGGGTCAACAGCAGGTGCACTCATTCATGAAATAATAGTAATAGCTTATATTTGTATAGCACTTTGGGGTTGCAGAGGGCTTTACAAACATCATCGGAAAGAATCTTCTTTCCTCAACATTTCACACAATGCCTGGCTCTTAGTAAGCTCTTAAATCCTTGCTGACTGACTGACCCTCACAACAACCCCATGAGTATACTTACTTGATGGATGAAGAAACTGAGGCACAGAGGGGTATACATTCAATTTAATTAAACGCTCGCTGTGTCCCACAGCACACCTTGGTGCTGGGTGAAATGCAAAATTCACATAACAGTCTCTTCTCTCATGGAGCTGACAGTCTGGTAGAGTTGAGGTTTAGAGGCCAAGCACAGATCTGTCTGCCTTGGGTGTCCACGAGGGCAGTAACCCACACCTAAACATGCATATGCCTCTATTGAACCTCACCTGTCTATATAAGTCAGGTTCAAAAAGAGGGCTGGCACTGGACGCAGGTCACTCCGGTTTTCTCACATGATAGCCTAAGATGGCGACATAAATGTCTTCACCATGAGGGTGCCAATGGCGGAGAGGGGCCCTGGTGACCCTCCTTTAGAGAAGCCCGAGAAAAGCATGAATAGCATGGGATGTTGGGTAGACATCTAGGTTAGAAGTCCACCCTTGGCAAAGACTGTCTGGGAGCAATCATTTAAGCTCATTTTACCAAGAAGCTCAATTGATTTCATTTTACTCTTGGCTTAAATCCAGCAAGAAAGAGTTTCATCAGGTTCCCAGAGACCTTGGGACAGTTGGCAGCAAAAGGTCAGAAAAGCCTATACATGCAACACAGTCCCCTAAAAAAACACAGAGGCCTTGGAATGAAAAGAGCAGGGTTGTAGTGTCAGCTGTGACACTTACTAGCCATGTGACCCTGGGAAGGTCATTTTACTTCTCTGAGATGTAGTTTCTTCATTTTTAAGATGGGGATGATAAATCCTGCCCTATCTATGTCACAGAATTGTGGTGAGTAATTGAATCATCATAGAACTGCAGATTTAGAACTGGAAGGGCCTTTAGAGAGCATTTAAATCAACTCCCTCATTTTACAAACAAGGAAACTGAGGCCCAGAAAGGTGACTTTTCCAAGGTCAAATGGGTAGCAAATAACAGAGTGATTAAGGCAGTGTGTAAACTGTACACACACACAAAGGGCTATTTTTCAGTACATACCAAGGAAAGTGTTGGGGAGAAATCTGTAGAGGTTTAGGAGGAGGAAGAGGTGGCTAATGACTGAGACTTGGAGCTGCTATCCCTGACTATACGACTTTGAACAAGTCATCTCACTTTACCAAGCTTTACTGTCTTGATCCATTATCAGGGTTAAAATGCTTGATGGGGATGCCAGGAATGTTTACAGCTGTATCTGGTGGAAATGGCATCCCCTGCCTCTGTGCCCCTTGGATACAAAGCATCGCTGCTGTTACCTGTGGAGCACCCTGCTTGTCACTCACAGCACTGTCCTTTTCCTCCCTAAAGGGGTGATTTATAGACAGGAAGTTACTGCGCCAGAGCTCAGCATTTCACTCTGGGAAGTGTCATTTATCCCCAGAGCCCAAGGGGAATTGTGAGACTGAAAGGCAAACAGCTCGGAGGTTCGAGGCACATTATCTAGGAAGGGAAGGAAGCCGAGTTGGGCACTAGCAGGAGGAGGAGGAGCGGAAATTAGATGCAGTTACCTTATCTCCTTGGAATCCGATATCTCCAGGCACACCAGGAAGCCCTTGCTCGCCCTGAATATACACCAGCAAAGAGAGTTACTATAGACCCCAGCTATGGCAAACTCCCATCCCCCCAACCCTCATCCCACTGCCATCAGGAGAGGGCTGGCAGGCAGGCCATGATGGAAGAGAGAAGGATGGCTCCCAGGCCCCACAACCTGGGGTCACAGGAGCATGACTGTCTCCAAACCCAGCCAAAGAGGGCCTGGCCAAACCAGGGCCAAAGAGATTTACTCTAGAATTCACACTAAAGACGAAGTAAATGAACTTTGAAAGTCCCGCTGCAGCTATGGTTGGCCCATTGGCCTGGCTGGGGCTGTGCTCAGCTGAAGAGTTCCTAATATAGAAATACCTCACAATGGATCATTAGAGATAATAGATCATTATCCAGTGCAACTACTTCGTTAAAGTCAGGCCCAGAATAGCTAAGGGATTTGCCCAATGTCACACAGGAGGTAGAAGAAGCAAGATTCAAACTCAGGTCTCCTGGTTCCAAATCCAGTCCTCTATACCACACTGCCCTCCCAAACCTAGAACAAATAGAACCTGTGTGTAGTTAATAAAAACAAAATCTCACAAGGGATCAGAGAGGTTATCTGTGCTAACAGAATGGGATGATCTAGTAATCACTAATGAAACGTGACTCTACAAGTATGGAGACTGATTTTTTTTTGTAACCAAAAGATTTGGACTTGGAATTTTACAATGGGAAGGGACCTTCAGAAACCATCTAGTCTAACCCATATCTTTTTCATCCAAAGGGTACTGGCCCCACAGTGTGGCCCTATACTTATTCTGGCAATGTTCTCTTCACTAAAACCAAGTCTGGATTTCTCTTTGTAAAATACCTTTGGAACTGGTTTTATAAGTCAGAAAAATCAGTCTCTTTACTTTGTAGTTGACTGCAATCAGGCCAAGAAGGGAAATGTGTATATTTGTATATGTGTGTATGTGTGTCGATCTATCAATCAACAAACATTTTTTTAAGCATCTATTATGCACCAGGCACTGTCAGCTTTGAGGATACATAAAAGAAGCAAAAGACAGTCCCTGTCCTCAAGGAGCTTCCAATCTAAAGGCAGACACAACATGCAAACAAATACATACAAAGCAAGCTATAAACAGGATAAATAGGAGGCAATTAACAGATGGAAGGGGTTAGAATTAAGAAGGGGGGGGTGAGTGTAGGTGAGGACATTCCAGAGACAAAGCAGTGTGTTATGCTTCCAATATTGGCCAGAAAATCAGATTCGTTATTTTATTTCTGAGAAGCATAGCAGATAGAGAGCTAACCTCAAAGCCAGAAGGAGCTGGGTTCAAATCCTGCTTCTGGTATCTTTGCCAAGAAAATCCCAAATGGGGTCACAAAGAATTGGATATGATTGAAAAAACTGAACAACGACAACAACAAAGATTAAAACCCTCCTCCCTGTTTTACAGTTGAGGAAATCGAGGCCAGAGAGATTTGATAATTTGTCTGAGGTCATATTAGGAAATGGTAGGGTCAGGATTTGAACCCAGCTCCTCTGACTAAAATCCAGCATGTCTTCCAATGCACGGTGCTGCCTCCCATGACAGGCAGATATTTGAAGAACTTTAGAGCCAAAAAGACTTTAGAGATTGACCTAGTTCAATCTCCTTTATCCCTGCCCCCCAAACGTGGAAACAGGCCCAGAGACGCAAAGGTCACACAGTAAGATCGTGATGGAGCCAGGCCTAGAACACACACTCCCAGGATGGCATTCTTTCTATTACTCAGACGATCTCCCCTCACCAGGAGCCAGAGTGGGTTGTAATGCAATGACACCCTTGGGGCCTACTGAGATGTGTGGTACAGTCTGCCCCTGATGGCCCCCGCTTCTATGCTTTCTAAATCCTACTGTTTGCTTTTGCACTTGTTATCTTCTCCCTCACTGACCAGCTGCCCCTCTTCTCACTTCCTGTCTGCTGTCAGGACCCCTGACTCCAGGAGCACCTCCATAGTGTGGTGGCAAGAAAACAAGGTTTAGGAGTTAGAAGCCCTGGCTTAGGATCCTGAATCAGTTTTCTCATCTGTAAAATAGGGTAGCTGGACCTGATCTCTTGGGTCCCTGCCAGCTATAAATCCTGAGCAGGAGGGAGAAGGTTCCATTCATTGGATTAGCCCCTCAGTGGGTTACACAGGGCCCCTTTCCTCCCCTCCACTCTGACATCCTTGCCACCTTGGTGGCAGGCAGGTCGGTAACTGGAAGGTGAAGGTACCTCTGGGACTAAGTATGTGCTTGACTTCATTCCAAAGCCAATGAAGCATACCTGTCTCTAGTCCAGGGGTTCTCACCTTTTGAATGAGTGTCCTGGACCCCCTCTGACCATCTTGTAAAGCTTCTGGAATCCTACTCAGAATATTGTTTTTAAATGTATACCCAAAAAAAGTATATAGGATTACAAAGAAAACCAAAAGTTAGCAAAAGCAAAGATGTGGGTTTTGTTTTGTTTTTTCCCCATCTGAAGTCATGGGTTTCCTGGAATCTAACCATAGACGCCTGGGGGTCTGGAGACACCAAGCAAAGAACTCCTGCTGTGTCACTATCTTTCTCCCTTCTAATCTGCTACTGTGAATAGGTTGGATGAATACTGGAGATGGGTAAAAGAAAAGGAAACCATGTCTGTGTTAAAGGCCTGAGGGGCTCTCTTGGCTGGAAAGTGCATGACTTCATTCATGAACATTGTGACATCTCGCCTGGTTGCTCAAAGGCATTTTTAAAAAAAAATTTTTTTCCTAGTTCTTTCTTAAGTTTATATAGGTGAGGTCTCTAGAAAATGACCTCCAGATACATGAGGTATTTTGCTACCTAACCTAAAAGAACCTCCCTCAGGCTTGCCCTGTCTCTCAAAAGCCCCTCCTCTATCTCACTTTTGTCCTTTCCAAAAGGTTAGGTTGGCCCAAAAGTCAGATAACCAAGATTGCACTGGACAAAGGAGCTTTGGGAAAACAAATTCCTGTGGTGGTCTAGTTCCTGGAAGGTGTCTCATGCAGCCTAGGCATTCTTAGGCCTATCAAGGGGTTGAGTTTTGGTCCACCATGAGCCCAGGGAGTCAAGAAAAGGATGGGGCAGCTCCATAGGGGTGATGGAGTTGGTATCAAATTACTAAGGCCATGACCCTGTAGAAGAACTCAGCTACTGATAAAGAAGCCAGGCCTTTAAAAAAAATTGTTTTTCCAATTTGGAAACTCCTATGTGGATTCCCATGTCCTGGTAGCCAAAGAGCCTTTTTTAGTCCAAATGTGAAATGGGCTAAGAAAAAATAATATTAAAGCTACCCAAGAAATCAGGAAAATAGATTTAAAAGGTTGTTTAATTGTTCCAGTGCTCAGCTCCAAGCCAGGAGGCAGAGAAAGCCAAGTGGTTGTAAGTAGGAACCTACCCAACCCAGGTCATGGAAAACCAGGGCTTCTGTATAGGACTGGTCACTGGGATAAAAAGGAACTGCTTTTTTTTCATTGGAAAAAGCCAAAGAGACCTCTAGAAGGCTCCAACTTATTGTGGGAATCTGAATATACCTGAATTACGGAAGAAACAACTCATAAGATCACAGAACTAGAGAGAGAAAGGACCTCAGAGAGGCTATCTCATCTAATCCTCTTATTTTACAGATGAGGAAACTGAGGTCAAGGGATTTGCCCAAGGTAGGATTTGAACTCAGGTCCTCTTTCTCTAATAGCAGGGCTTATTAACCTGGAGTCTGTAGAACTTTAAAAAAATGTTTTTGACAACTGTATTTCAGTATGATTATTTCCTTTGTAATTCTATGTATTTTTATTTTATTTAAATTATTAAAAAACATTTTTCTGAGAAGTTCATAGATTTCACCAGACTGTCAAAGGGGCCCACAACACACAAAAAGGTTAAAATTGTTCATTTTTGCTCCAAAATGCTCTGAAGCCACTGTACCAAGCTGCTTCTTTTGGAGCAGGAGAAATATTTCAGAAAAGTGAAAACCAGAGGGGAAAAAATCGGAAAATTCAAAAGAGTGGAATTAGGGGGTTATCTTCCCCCCAAAAAAATCACAAGAAAAAATATTTGCACTTTTTTTTTAACATTTTCTCCTGGGTTTTCACATTTCTGAGTGAACCACACTCAAAAATGTTAGTTGCAGACCATGTTATACATTATATGGTTTCCTGTTCTTGAATTAACAATGTGCCTTCAGTTCTGTAAAGGGCTACCCTCTCCCACCGCTGCCCGTGACACAGCGCTGACAGGGAGCAGGCTGGAGGAAGCCTAGGCTTTAGGAGGAAAGCAAAGGAGGAGGAGGAGAAAGTACAGAGGACACACGCCAGCAATGAGGATAGTGAGATTTCCAGTAGGGGTATCTGGAGGAGTAGTTTACATGCAGAATAAAATACAGTGCAATAAGGGAGTATTCAGATCACCTTATCACCTTTCAGTCCGTGTTCTCCGATGTTTCCCATAAGCCCCTGCAAGACAGAAAGCCTGTCTAAGTGCCAAGCTCCAGAAAAAGCTTCCTAAGCCATTTTAGAGTTGAAAAGGGCTTCATGAATCATCTAGTCCAACACTCCCATTTTACAAGGGGAGAAACTGAGTCCTAGACAAGTCGTATGACTTGCCTGAGGTTACAGCGTCAGTCAGGGACAGAGTTGGAACTACAATCCAGATGTCTTCATTCCTGTTCTTCCCACCACCTCACTGAGCATCTCAGCAAGGATCAGAGGAGCCTAGATCTAGAGTCAGATGGCTTCAAGGCCATCTCATCCAACCTCTTCATTGACAGAAGAGGGCGCTGGCGCTCAGTATGCTTAAGTGACAAAACAGGTAATAAGATGGAAAGTGACACACAGGTATTTGAACTCAGGTCCTCCGACTCCAGTAAGAGCTCTTTGGACCATATGGTGGCCATCTTTCTGGTTCATGAAGCTAATCCAGCAATTCCCATCAGTGTCTCTGATCCCATCATATCACAAAGCAACCAGGGAAGAAACCAGGATTGCAATATCCCTTGAAGGGCAAGACTGTGCACAAACTCTTCTCCCTCAGTTCTCCACCTTATTTTCTCTCTCCACCCCCACCCCCTTCAAGGGGAGCTTTTGACATCTTGAAATTTACAGCACCAATGGCCAGACATGCCACGTCCTGCTAGAGGACACAGCAGGTTCAGTGGCTTACTTACCTTCATTCCCTTGGGTCCTGGGTAGCCAATTGGACCAATAGCTCCCATGTCACCCTAGGAAGAGGGAAAATAAAAAGACACTTGAAGTATTAAGGGAACAGCTAGAGTCTCACAGCCAGATAAAGTATTGTAAAAGGCTTTACTCGATTGACCTATGCCCTAGGGGAGGTTTTAGTCTATTAACCTACACCAATCCAGAGCTTTCTCAGAATTAGAGACCTTCAAGGAACAGTGCTCATTATTCAGCTCAAGATTCTTCTGGGCTTTCAACAAAAGTTTGCTTGCACCTGATTTCCCCTCTCCTCCTGCCCCATAGAGAATTTCTTTCCTTTTGTGTTTCCAGACCCCTTAAGACTAGAAAGGCAAACAGGTAGGGAATATAGAAATAGCATTGAGTTTGGCCTTAGGGCACCTGGCTTTGAATTCTGACCCAGCATTAATACTATTTACTAGTTGTGTCATCTTGAGTAAGTCCCTTCGCCTCTCTGGGTTTAGGTTTCCTCATCTGTTGGATTGTATTATTCCTTCCAGTTCTAAATCCTATGTTATTTTCTTTGAGTCAGAGTCTTTAAAAAGCTCTCCCCAAAAGCTTTATGATCACAGAGGGGACAAGTGGACAATGTAGACACAACCTCTCTAATCAAATTCTCTATGGCTTCCCCTCCTTCCAAAGGGAGATAGATCCTTCCTCTGCTATGGCAAGGGAGAGTAAATAAAAGGAACTTGGTCAGCTCTTTGCCAAAGACAAAGTGGAAAACTGGAGCAGAAGTCATTTGAAAGGAGTAATGGATTCACCAGGTCCGCCAGGCTTGGAAATACACACTCAAGTTCCTCTGACAAGCTGCTTGGAGATGTCTCAGAGGGAAGGAGTAGGAGGAAAAATAAAGAATGACACTCTATTCTATGATCCACTGGTTCCAGCCAATGGGAACCTAGGGCTGTGGCATGCCTCAAGGGAGAGAGAATGAGTGGAGCTCCATGAACTTGGAGAGGAGAGCTTGGAAAACTCCAAGACAAGTGCTCCTCAGTTGCCATTCCTTCCCCCCTAACTCGTGCCTGTCAATCCCCAGTGCAAGACTAGGAGGCAACCGACTCGAGTTCTACCCTTGACTCTGCCACTAATTCATTGTATAATCCTGGCCAAGTCAAGTCCCCTTTCTGGGTCTCAGGTTCTATAAAATGAGGACTTAGATCAAGGGTTCTTAACCTGAGGGTTAGTAAACTTAAAAAATTTGATAACTGTATTTCAGCGTAGTTTCCTTTGTAACCCTATGTATTTTATGCACTTAAAAATATTATTTTGAAAAGTCCATAGGCTTCACCACACTGCCAGAAGAGTCCATGACACACACTAAAAAAGGCCAAGAACCCCTAAACTGGATGAACTTGAAAATCTAAAAAGAGTGCTAGGATCTACTTCTTCCAAGACATCTGGCTCAGTTGTCTCATTTCTGTGAGATGTGGTGACCATGTGAAGCATCTCTCATGGACCTGACATCAGCCTTGGCGTGGAAAGGTGCCACTGAGAAGTGGAAAAAGCTGGCAGCTTGGATCGAATGGCACTGCTCCCTCTGCGGGTATGGCTTTTCCTCCGGTCCTAGGTCTGACATGACAGAAATCACAGAAAGATCTGAATTTTATAACCCCAGGCCTCTTGTTGGATCTCATTCCAGCTGAGCTACCCATCCCCATTCTCTCCCTCCCACCAGTCAACCCCTGTCAAGCTGGTTCAGCCAAGACAAGAACAGAAAAAGCAAACAGACTGTAGAGGCTGACTCACTCCCCACCCTAACTACAAGACAGGGGCCTTCTTTGGGGGTGGACTTAGACAGCCTCAAACAGAAGACTTCAGTCATTGGGACCCACCTCTGTGCTCCAGTTTTCCAAAAGAGCAAAGATTTGACCTATCCTTTCCAAATCTAAGGTCATCTCAAAAAAGTTCATTCCAAAATGGTACATTCTTTGAATCTACTTTCTACCTGCTTTGCTATTAGCTCACCACTTAAGTGGTAAAATTGGGCCAGAAGGAGGTAAGTCAGAGACGAGAGTCCTTCCCCCATTAATGCAGTGTGCCATAACTTTCTTCATCTGTTGGCTGGGCGGAGCTTCTTCTCAAGTCAGCCAGAGTCAGCTTGGATGTCCAAAAACGAAAAGAACACAGTCCACTGATAGGGATTCATATCCATATAACTTGGCTTCCTCCAGTCCCACAACAGCCACAGAAGAATTCCCTTTCCACCTTAAGTTAGGGGTATATGATGCTGGCTCAGGTCTTGGACCTCAAGCTCTTTCTCTTGGATTCACTCTTCCCTTTTCCTGGAAGTTAACTTCTGGTGGGGCAAATGCTTTGTTAGAGTTCACTGACTCCTTGGGAACGAATGGATGAACAACTTTATTTTAAGTGACTCCTGGGGACAGGACTGAGAGCAGGGTCTTATTGACTCCAGAATTATGAGGATCAAAGATATAACACTCATGGCTAGTCTCTGCCTGAGAGAAGAAGACGGAATGTGCCAGCCAAGAAGTCATAGGTCATGTGGTTTTTGGGTTGATTCACTGTACCCTGCCATCACGCTCACTGCAAAAGGCAGCACCAGGAGGCTGCTAGACCTCAGACACTAGCTCTGGTGACACTGAGCAATTCGCTTCCCTTTCTTGGCTTCCATCTCCTCATCTGTGAGATAAGGGCATTGGACTTAATGACCCCTAAGGCAACTTCACAACTCCAAATCTATGATCCTATGATCTTGAGTAAGTTGTTCCTCCCTCTGGGCCTCAGTTTCCCAATTGGTAATAAGAGAGAATTGAATTAGATGATCTCAAAGGTCCCTTTCTGCTCTAACATTCTATGGCTCTAAGGGCTGAACCAGGAACCCTCAAGAACGTAAGCCCCATTTTTTCAGAGATCCAGGTTTTTAAAGGCCTCCAGATCACTAATTGCTGGGAAAGCCAGCAACTGATTGAACCTCAGCTGGTTGCTGAGGTATCTTCCCATCAGGAATTGGAGACCTCAGTTTAAAAAAGGAGAACCTGGGTGGAGGAGAGGGACAAAACGCAGGGGTGTTGGCCATGTGGCAAAGCAAGGGTGTGAGTAAAACCTTTCAGAGGTTTGCATTTTAACAGGCCCCTGTTGCTTGCATTGGCTCTTTCTTCATAAAGGGAGCCAGTGACGGAGGACCCAGCCTCTCCTGTGGTGTGTAAATAAACAGTGCTGGGTGGACTGAAGAACATTGCCGTAACCAGAGGCCGTGCGGTTGGTTGCAAGCAACTGACAAATCCTGAACCAGGAGCCCTCAGGAACACAGGCCCCCTTCTTCAGAGCTCTGGGCATGAAGGCTTCTTACGTGGAGGCTGTAAACTTCAACGCCATCCCTGTCCAGCTCAGGGTCAGCACAAGGGACTCCAGAGACATCTGATTCAGACAGCAGCACTTCTGAGATACAGCCTCTACCTTGGGAGGCCTCAAAGTGGCAGCAGAGGCCCCAAAGGGCCACAAACCCTGACAGCAAAGAAACTCTATAGGAGGAGGTGATTTGCTATTGAATTCAGAGCTTTAACTGAGAGCTCTCTCAGTCATGACATTCATGACTTTATGTGGGGGGGGGGGCCTGAGTGGAGGAGAGCCAACTTGTTTAGGGTAAAGCTCTCTAAGCAGGCTCTTTTTTCCTTCTTGAATATTTGTTGAATTCAATGGTATGTGTATGTGGGTGTGTAGATATAATATGTGTGTGTGTGTATATACATATATATATATAAATCAAAATTAAAGAAAAATTGATGGCAGCATAGTATGGCAGCATAGTATAGTGGATAGAGAGAAGTCCTTGAAGCCAAGAAGACCTGAGTTCAAATTCAGTTTCAAATACATACTGGCTATTGATGCTGGGCAGTTAGGTGGCCCAGAGGCAGCTAGGTGGTGCAGTGGATAGAGTGCCAGGCCTGAAAATAGGAAGACACATCTTCCTAAGTTTAAATCCAGCTTTGTGTCTAGCTGTATGACCTTGGAAAAGTCACTTAATCCTGTTTGCCTCAGTTTCCTCATCTGTCAAATAAGCCAAGGAGGGAAATGGCAAACCACTCGAGTATCTTTGCCAAGAAAATCCCAAATCGGGTCATGAAGAGGTAGACACAACTGAACAGCAACAAATGTCACTTAACCTTTCAGTTCTCTAGATAACTCTACAGCCATAAGTTGTACTGGTAAGGAGCATTCCCTATACCAGTGAAACCACAGATCCAGTCCCTCTCCCTATGTAATAGAATTAAAGATAAATAGAGGTTGGGGCAGCTAGGTGGTGCAGTGGATAGAATTGGAGTCAGGAGGACCTGAGTTCAAATCTGGCCTCAGACACTTGACACTTACTAGCTGTGTGACCCTGGGCAAGTCATTAACCCCAACTGCCTCACCAAAAAGGAAAAAAAAAGACAAATAGAGGTTAATGTTTAAAACATGGAAAAAACAATTAGCAAAATCATTAATTCATATTCCTTTTGTACTTCTTTTGTCAACTCTAACCATTTCCCCAAACCAAGGTCTTCTGGCTTCATTACATAATGAGTTTAAATGGAATACATTTTCTTTCTTTCTTTCTTTTTTTCCTTTTTTGGTAAGGCAATTGGGGGTAAGTGACTTGTCCAGAGTCACACAGCCAGTGAGTGTTACATGTCTGAAGCCAAATTTGAACTGAGGTCCTCCTGACTTCAGGGCCAGCGCTCTATCCACTGCGCCACCTAGCTGCCCCCTGGAGTATATTTTCAGTTTCACAGTGGGGACCTAAGAAAGTCTATACTTTCCTAGAAGGCCATCAGGATACAGCTTCTTCCATAGGTTAACAAACATTTCTTTTTTCACAACAGACACAGATTTTCTTTTTTTGCCAATCAGTCTTAAGGCATGGAAGATTACCTTGTTATTTAACCTACCCAGACAACACTATTTTTCCTTGAGGCACAGACAGACATACGATAACAGCTTCCCTATAGCTTCCTCAGGACTGGTCTTTGAAAAAGGCTGTGAACTCCTCACAATAAATAAAACAGTTATCTGGAACTTCCAAAAATCACATTTTTATAAGATACAACTTAATATAAAGTGAGACTTTTGTGGCCTCATTTCAAGGGAGTGTAACTATTCAAATTCCTTAAAGGTCTTCGTTATTAAGGCCACAGTCCCACAGCATGGACTTCCATGACATTTTGACGTATATGCACGATGCCTTAGGTTCACAAGAAATGAGGCACTGAATTAATCCGGGTTGCCACTAAAATGGCTATTAATAAATGGAATTTTGATCCCTTCAGCAAAAAAAAAAAAAGCAACCAAAACCACATCCTTCCTCCTAGTCTGTGGAAAACCAGACTCATAATCTCTCCCTTTTCCCTTTAGTTCCAAGTCAGAGGGCTCCTTCCTTCCACTGATCCTCCAGGAGACTGACTCCATTGGGACCAGAGTCTGTCCTGTCTGCTACTCTTGCCTCCTGCTTCCTGGCTTGCCAGGGCTTCCCCCAGGGAGGCCTGAGAATTGGGCTGGGGGTGGGGAGCCCTCTTTGTATTGGAAGGTGGGCTCCTTCTAGGGGCCCTGTCAACTTGACAAACCACAACCCTCTAGGGCCAAAGGAAGAGACTTTCAAATTAGATTTCTTCCGCAAAAAAAAGTCCCCATTGTTTTTCTCCATTTCTGCCTCCTCTGCTGGATTTTCCAGGGTGGTTATTACTAGCACAGTCAAGTGAATTTTAGTATGTGAAGAACTGAAGTCCAAGGCAGCATTAGAGAGTTTCTCATCTGCCACACTTCCCTCTACCCCCCACCTTCACCCTACCCCTCTCCTGGCAAGAGAGGTCAGTAAGTCTGAAGGAGTGACTCTGAACAAAAAAAAAGGTCTATTGTATCACAAGCCCCTCCTGGGACCTTTGCTTGAGAAGGGCAGTCATTTCCATGGCTCTGCCACATTTCACGCCTCAGCAGCTGAGCTTAGCCTGGTGAAAAGTGCTCTGGCCCAGGAGCAGGTAGCCCTGGGCTCTAATCCCACACCTCTGCCATTGACTCAGTCCTTAACCTTGAGAAAAGTCATTTAGCTTCTTGGGGCCTCACCTTCCTCATCTGTCAAATATATCTTTCCCTCCCCCCTCTCCTTCCCCTTGACCCCTAACACAGTGCCCTGAATAACTTAATACTTGCTGAATAAGCTAGATCATTCCTAAGGTCTTTTGCCAGCTCCAATTCCAAGATTTTATGAAATATATCCACTACAAAGCAAACACGGGGCATCTGTTTTGACTCCTAGAAAAGACACTTCAAATATCTGGAAGGCTAGTATTTGGAAGAGGGAGCCAATTTTTCCCTTTATGGCTTTCGATGAGAGCTAAAACTAGAGGGTAGAGTAAGGACCCGCAGCGTGGGCTCCATGAGGTTTCTGTACAAATATGCATGATGTTTTAGGATCCCCCAGTGGGTCCTAGACCTAGCAGATATGATGATCGCTGTCTTTAAAAAAAAAAGGTTAAACCAGAAATCATTTACACTTCTAAGGTCAGGACTGATGACAGAAGATCCCGAGGCTCCTTCTAGCATCAGCTCCTAGAAGCCCTGCATGTCTCTTGCCCATTGTACCAGGGCCCAGCCTAACCCAGGCTCTAGAGGAACAGTGACTGAGGCTGCCGATACATGTGGTGTTCTTTTCAACTTTCCTCTCCACCCTGCTGGCTCCAACAAACATTTGGAGACCAACCCCTTAGCCTGACCGGGTCGACTAAAAGAGAAAGTCAGTCTGCTCAGGGGAGGCACCAATAGCCTCTGCAGTGGGGTGACTTTGGTGCTTCTTAATTATGCCCGAGATGTAGGTGGTCCCTTCCCACAGCTGTTTTCCCAACTGTAGGAGATGCAGAAACTTGCCCACAGCTGGCCAGTGGGATGTCTGGGATTCTCGTTAAAGGGAAAGCTGGAAGGAACAATTACTCAAACTGTCTCCCCTCTCTCCATGACAATGGTAGCAGACCTCCTGTCGATATAGAATATGCTGCTGGCTCCAGCCCAGGCCCTGACGGCTCGGCCTCACTTAATGACTACCCGATTGCATTATACAACCAACCCACTCTACCTCATTCTCGGCATCTGCTGATCCCCAAGGCGCCTTGCGTGGGCCAGGCCCCACATTCCAAGTAGAAAAGAAAGAGCAGAGAGTGTATTAATTGTGGTGGCCTCCATAGGACAGGTCTTGGGTAAAGAAATGCTCCCCTGCCCTACAGGCCTGAGATGGCACTAGAAAAATAATCAGATAATCCTCCAATATTAGTGTCTGGGAACTGGATTCTTATTCCTATTGTCAGTAGCTCAACCTTTAAGTAAGTCCCATGACATCTCCTGAGTCTTCTGTCTCTGGATCTGCCAGAAAATCTCTCTTATCCAGCTTGGGGTGGGAAGGAATGACTAAGAGACATCTGAGCACTGCCTCACCACACTTTACAATAGTGGCTGTAACTGAGAGTTCCCATTAGGTGAGATACAAGGAAGACCTCAGTGGCCAGACAGGGGCGAGTCACCAACTGAAATCCTATGTTTTCTTTAAGCAGGCAGTAGACAACCATGGGCCTAGGGGGGCTTAGATGCAGAGGACTAGACAAGATGTCTTTTTGGTTGAATTGAATTGAATTGATGTGCCAGCCCTGAGGGCTTGGCAAAGGTCTGTCCCTCGATCCCAAGGTCAGCAGTGCTGCAATTACCAGACCCTCCAGCCCAGACTCACAATGCAGCTCCAAAAGTGCTTGTGCACAGACCACACCCACACCCCCCCCCCACACACACCTCACATTGGAAATCTACAGGATCTGAAACTTAGCTCTGTCCCCTTCCTTAAGCAAGACACGTTCCCATTATGGGTCTGCATTTCCTCATATATGAAATTGAGGGGGGTTGGACGAGATGATCTCAAAAGTATCTTTCCAGCTCTAAATCTATGTTCCTGCGATCCCATTGCCCTAAATGACCATTTGCTAGATCTTGTTTGATCCTCTCTTCAAAGTAGGTACTAGGGTATTATGAAGCCCCATTTTACAGATGAAGAAACTGAGGCTGAGAGGTTGTGTCATGCCCAGGGTCATACAGCTCTTATTGCCTTTGAGTCATCTCTTAGACATTGTTTTTTGGCAAAGCAATCAGGGTTAAGGACTTGCCCAGGATCCCACAGCTAGTTGGTGTCAAGTGTCTGAGGCTTGATTTGAACTCAAGTCCTCCTGACTCCAGGGCCAGTGCTCTATCCACTGCACCACCTAGTTGCCTCCTCTTAGACATTCTTTCTCACCCCAAACTGGAGAAGAGGGGAGATTTCCCGGAAGATTTACAGATTCAGAGACTGGAAGCCTCAGTGTGGAGGGAGGGTATTATGGATCTTGCTGAGGGCTGAGATAGACATTTCTAGGCTCTCTCCTGGGCAGTGGGAGAATCCAGTCCACACACTTGCCATCTCCAGTCTCTTATCTGGTCCAGTTGTTGGCAACATGGCCTGACCGCTGGCCCAGGAGGAGAAGATGCAGAGAAACATTTCTCTCTGTGGTGGCTGCAGTCACCCACAGTTGGCAGACTCTTGGGTTCATTGCTGAGCAAGGGTAAAGTTCAGCTATGGGACTCTACCAGCATGAAGCTCTAATAGACTCAGACCATCAGAGCTATAAAAAGGGCCTTAGGACAGAACACCAAATCCCAGAGCTAGAAGGAACCTTCGAAAGCATATAACCCAGAAGAGAGGCTAGGTACAGACTGAGGCTTCAGCTCTTAAGAATAAGCTGAGCTGGTAATAGGACCAAGTGGCTTGGTTCTCTTCCTTTCTAAAGATGGTCTCTCTCATAGCACAAGCCTACCAGGGCCATGTGGAGGTTACTCGGGGGAAACATCCTAGGACTCAAGATGGCCAATATCTCCAGGAGCCTGTATTTCAGGGAAAGGTCTCCCCCCATCTCAGATCCAGGTTCAAAGTGTTCCACCTCTCCTCACTTTGCCTTCCACAGAGGGCCACACTCATCCCTAACACAGGTGAACGTCAGAGAGTAACAGACACATCATAAGAGTTGCCTAAGTCCCATAGCAAAGTTTGGGCCCAGGTCTTCTGAGATTCCAGTCTGGGACATTTTATGGCCTTGTAGATGCCCCTAATAGGCCCAGGACTAGAGGGGGCATGGCTTTGTTGGGGGGGGGATGATTTAATTAATTAGATGACAGCACAGTCAAGACGGACACAGCTGCCAGCTAGAGGCAGGTACAGAGACATACTATGTTTGCTCCCCCAAGCAAACCCCTAGAGCCCTCTAGTACAGGGGTTCTTAACTTGGTGTCCGTACACTTTTAATAAATTGTGATAAGTGTATTTCAATAGAATTGGTTTCCTTTGAAATCCTATCTCTTGTACTTTTATGCATTTAAGAACATTACACTTAGAAGTGATCCATAGGTTTTAGACTGTCCAGGGGTCTATGCCACGGAGAAGGTTAAGAACCCTGGATTTAATCCAACTTCTTCCTCTTACAAGGGAGGAAACCAGAGAAGGCAAATTACCTTCCCCAAGGTCACATTATGAACTCTTTGTGTGGCTCTGGCCCTCCACTGAAATTTAGACTAGAGACCTTAGGGTTCTTAACTGCAGAGAAAACTCAGTCCCCATTCTTACAAAAGAGTCAATAAGATTGCTGGGATTGAGTCCCAGTGAAGGTTAACTCACTTAACCAAGGTTACTCAGCTAGTTAGTAATAGAGCTGAGATGAGAAGCCAGGTCCCCTGCTCTGTATATTAAACAAAGCTGCCACCCTCCCCCCAAAGTGGAATGATTTTAATTCCTCCCTCTCCTCTTGTTCCCGGGTCCCCAGGTTAGGCTTAGGTTATATTCTCATACTTACAATAAGTCCGTGAACTCCAGGTGGGCCTGGGGCACCCAGATCTCCCTAAAAGTGAAACAAAACCAACATAGTTGAGGGATGTCAAGGGATCAGGGGCTATTGAGGTATCATAGCACTAGTCCCACCCGTATCTGGTGATGGTATTTTCCAGAATCAGGCATTTGGAGAGGGGATTACTATAATAACACTAGCTCATACTCATACGTCACTGTAAATTTTGCAAAGCATTTGACATACGTTGTGTCATTTAGCCCTCATAATAACCCCTTTATGTATGGATTAAGGGTATTATTAAATCTGTTTTACAGATGAGAAACTGAGGCTGAGAGGTTAAATGACTTGCCCAAGGTCACGCAGTAAGTATCATTGCCAGTATTTGAACCCAGGATTCACTTGACTTCAAATCTAGCACTCATTCTTTACAGGAGCCCTCACTGCCTCTCTAAACAGATGGTCTACTGAGGTTTCCCCATGGTTCTGCAGGCAAGTCAGTGGAAAGAGATAAAAATAGTATTCTGTGGCAAAAAAGAAGAAAATCAAAGAACAGCAGAATAGGAAAAGAAAGTAAAATTGAGGAAATTGGGGGGGGCCTTCCAATGGACTGTATTTGCTATAAGACAAAGTTTTTATCCTGTCATTCAAGATTCTTCACCTTCATCTCCCCACTATTCTCACCCCACATTCATTTGAACCCTCTACACTAGCCAGACTAGCCTCACTCTTCCACACATGTGCTACGTCTGTGCCTTTGTTCATGGCACCCCCTGAATCTCAAATACCTTTCTCTCTTTCGTCTCCCTAAACAAATTAGACCGATCTCCCAAAGCACACAGCTCAAGCCCCACACCAGCCATGCAGATTTCCTTGACCATGACTGTCCACAGGACACAGAGTTTTCCCACATAGGGCAAAGAGCCAGCTTGGCTGGCTGTGGGTACCCTCTGCCAGGGCCAACAGATCAGTGGGTAAACCCCAGATTAAGTCACGGAATCACAGGCTGTCAGAACTGGGCTAGAGAACAGCAGAGGGCATTGCTCTCTTCCTGCCTGGGATTTTTCCTCACACCATAAACTCTATGCATGGCTCTAGGCAGCTAATCCCCCCCTCTCTCTGGGCCTCCATTGAAATCTAAACTAGAGACCTTAGGGTGCTTATCTGCAGAGAAAACTCACCCTCTGTTCTCCCTAAAGAGTCAATGAGATTAAAGGATATAACGGAATCATGTTTCCAGCATCAGCACCTTCATGTCAGACAACAGCAGGAAGGAAGTCAGACCATCCACTCAAATCCCCTGCTTTGGAAACTGGGTGGTGGTGGTGGGACAGGGTAGGAGAGGAATTCCCTCTAGAGGGCAGGGAAGGCTGACGGATAAACAAGCTTAGTCATGTCTGAGATTTCCAGGATCTCAGGATGTGCCTACCTCGTCTCTCATCCTGTATAAACTGTGCTCGTAATCCCAGAAGGGAATAAGCATTTTAGTAATTGCCCAATATGTGCCAGGCACTGGGCTAAGCCCTTTATGAATATTATCTCATTTGATCCTCACAGCAAATCTAGGGGGTAGGTGCTATTACCATCCCATTTTACAGTTCAGGAAACTGAGGCAGAGAGAAATTAGGCGACTTGCCCAAGGTCACACAGCTGCTAAGTCTGTGCGGCAGGATTTGAATTCAGCTCTTCCTTACTCCAGGGCCAGCATTCTATCCACACTGTAATGACTATTAGACAATGAATCAAGTGGTATGTGTATAATAAATAAGCCTTGGTTCTATCACTATCTTACCAAGGGACATTGGACTTCATTTAGCCTTGGTTTCTTCAACCATAGAATGGATATAAAAATGCTTGCCCTGCCTACTTTACAAGGGGAATGAATGAAATAACAGGTGTAATTGAAAAATATAAAGGTGCCATACAAAGGTAAGGCATAATGCCAACACAAATGAAGAACTATGATCTTAATTTAGTTATCTTTGTCACCATATCTACCAGCTCTTCTGTGTATGAGCTAGACTGGGAAAAAAAATCATTATTCCCATTATGTGGAAAGGAAGATTGAGGTTCACAAAAGTGAATTAACTTGCCCAGGATCACACGCCTAGAATCAGGACTAGAACTCAAGTCTCTTGACTCTCAGTTCAATGCTCTATCACTACACTATACCATGGATATGAGAAGTTCCTTGTGGGGAGCTCCTTTAACAAAGCAAGATACTGGTGTTTCCTTTTTTTATTATTATTTATTATTAATTGACCTGACAACAGACATTTTAGGGGTGCTAATTGTGATTCTTCATTTCAGATATATTACAGCGAATGATTAGTGGAACTTTGTGGGAGAGGGGAGAGGATAAACCAAAAGCCAGCCCCTCTGTGATGGGCACAGCTGGGCACAGCTGTTTAGGACAGGAAGTGAAGCAGCATCTTTGTCTCACTGTCTCCTCAGGAAGGAACAGGAGAATGGTCAGTCAGTGTTGCACATGGACCCAAGCTGAGATCCTGACTCTCCTCACCCCTCACAACGTCCAGCTCTGGAATCTCTTGGGTATTCAATCTGATCCAAAGCCCTATGTTGCCTGTCCAAGGGAACAGGAAGCTCTTGAAGAAGGGTCCCAGACCCCAGGGCAGAATGACCTGGCTTTGCGGTTAGCAATTCTGCAGCCAAAAATCCCAAACCAAACTTGAATATCTTCCTGCACTTGGAGGATTCAAATTATTTGTAAACTCTATAAACAAGGGAGGATTTCCTCCCCACCCTCTTCTTCTTATAGAAGGGGGTGAGTTCCCTATGGTTCAAGTGTCTGGAAGCATCTTGCTTCCATTCAAGACCCACTGCTGGCCATAAATATTTAGAGAATGTTCCCAGGCAGCATGGGCCTCCCAGCTCAGTGAGCAACTACCATTCTCCCGTGCCCCCAGGTCCTCTGACATGGAGATGCTTTTGGCTTTGCAGAGGCATGGACATCCTGGAGTCCAGGTAAGACTATCTCAGAGGGCAAGCCAGGGATTTGTCTATGGACCTAGCGGGAGAAACTAACATCCTCGCACACATTCCTCTCTTGGCAGGGAGGAAGCAGTGGGGGATGGAGCCCTAGGCACGCTTCACCTGGCCTTCTCTCTGGTCAGTGACAGGTCAACCCTAGTGAAGCCATTTGATTTTTCCAGCCTAAAAGAGACCTTGGAGATCATATAATCCAATCCACTTCAGTGAACAGAGAAGGAAATACGCCTAGAAAGGGAAATGATTTGTTCAGCATCACTCAGGGAATGGCAGTTCGGAACCTAGACCTCCTTGTCTTGTCTCTTGAACCACTGCTTCCTCCATATCTCTAGCTGACACGGTAAATAGAACGCTGGCCATGGAATCAAGAAGAACTGAATTCAAATCCTGCCTTGAACACCTACTAGTTGTGTGACCCTGGGCAAGTCACTTAACTTTTATCTGCCTCAATTTCCTCAACTGTAAAATGGTGATAAAAATTGCTCCTACCTCTCAGGGTTGTTTTGAGGATCAAATGAGAAATTTGTAAAGTGCTGAACATAGTGTCTGACACATAGTAGGTACTTAAAAATATTTGTTCTCTTCCCTTCCCTTGAACTGATGATACCCTTAATGGGATAGACAAGACTTCCAAGGCAGATACACAAAACCTGCAGGGAAAGGCTTTAATTCTTTCCCAATTCCCAAGTCTCTCAGCTCACGGATATACCAGAGGCTATAATAACAGGCCATAGAAACTTTCATTAGTAGTAATGTACCCAGTCTGGGGCTGGGCCCCAAGATGAATAGAAATGAAGAGAGGAGAAAAACTCACGGGACAGAGAACAGGGAGATACCAACACCTTGGCTCTGCTTTAGATTCTAAATCAAACAGTGGGGAATTAGCAGTACATGGCAGAGTGACTTTAAATCGATAAATATGCTTCTCTCCTTGGCCTCCCTGATCCAGAAGCAGACAGCTCACCTCCTCTCCGTAATCAACTTTGCCCTTCCCCCCACCCCAGACCTGATATTCTTTTTATGGTGTCTCCAAACACTTACAGGGTTGCCATCCAATCCAGGGGGCCCTCTTTCCCCAAAGTCACCAGGAAACCCCTAAAAAGAAGAGAGAAAGAGGAAAATTGAGTCAAAACATGAACACGGACCATTGGCGTCACTCCAGATCTAGTCAACACAGTGTCCTGGCCAGGGCAAGGAGTAGCCATGGACAAATTGCAGCACAAGGATGAGCTCCCATTTTATTCCCACTCCTTTATTCCAAAGGTGAGAGTGCATCATCTCATCCTCCCCCAAGGAGGAAACGCTATTTATAGATTTCAGAGAATGTCAGAACTTCATCATAACACAAAGAACATAAGATCCAGAGTCAGAGGACCCAGGTTCAACCCCCAGGCCTACCTCTTACTACCTGTACAACCTTAGGCAAGCCACTTAACTTGGTTTCCTCTTCCATAAATAGGAAGGGATTAGCCTAGGCATTTTTTAAAGCCCCTTTCAGCTCTAAATCTGTAATCTGGTGATCCTATGAAGTTAAAAGAGCCTGAGAGGTCAACTAATCCAACCCTCTAATTTTTTTTCCATTAACTTTTTAAAAATTTAATATTTTATTTTCCCAATTGCATGTAGAAACATTTTTTAGCATTCTTTTTTTTAAATTTTTGAATTCCAAATTCTCTCCTTCCCTTCCTTTCCCCCTCACTGAGAAGGGTAAGCAATCTGATACAGACAACCTTCTAATTTTACAAACGAGGAAGCCAAGACCCAGCAGGGAAGTGACTTGCCTGAGGTCATACAACTGGTTAACAGTAGAGCTAGGTCTAGAACCCAGATCCCCTGACTACCAGTACAGAGCTTTAAGAATTTAATTTTAAACCTTAGGTCATATACAAGGAAATCTGGGGAATCATAGGCTCATACATCTAAAGCTGGAGTGGATCTTAAGGCCATTAAATTCAATTACCTCATTTGACAGATGAGGAAACAGATCTGGATAGGTTGTCGGTGTCAAACTCAAATAGAAAGAGGGTTACTACATGGCACACAAGGATCTCTGACTTAAAAAACCACAAATTAACATTATTTATATCTTACTGTATATTTATTTCTTTTGTTAAATATTTCCCAATTATATTTTAATCTGGTTTCCCACACTCAGGAGTGTTGTGGGCTGCATGTTTGATACCTCTGCGTTAAGTGACTTGCCCTAGAATCTGACTCCAGAGAGAGTGATCTTTCTACTGCCTGTTCTCACAGGACGTCTCATTAATTTAATACTGATAAATCCTGGGCGCTAAGCCCAGGCTTATAAGACCCTAAGACATGGGTATGAAGTGTATCAAGAAGGAAAAGTTGCTCGCCAAGGAAGCTCTGGAGTTTAGGGGCACTGCCAAGTGGGGGGGGCTTGGCTCTGTCAAGCCGAGCCCCATATCCCTGAATTAGGGCTTCTTTTACTCTATGGAAAAAAGCCAGGCCTTTGAACCAAGGGGACCATGCCAAACAAGGGAAGCCCCACTGCAGTGAGGGGACAATTTCCTTCTGACTTCAAAAGGGAGACAGAAGACCAGTTTGGGGCTAAGCGAAACCCAATATTTTCCCCTTCTTGATTTAAACCATTGTTTTCCAGGGGAAATTTAATAAAAAACAAACCACATGTTTTCCTAAGTAAAAGCCTGAACTAATGAAACAATAAAGGTTCATGTTGGAGATTAATTCAGACCCTGGTTTCTAGGGCTACTAGAGAAATAAAATAAATACATTAAACCCAAACTTTTAAGAGGACTGAGCATGGAAGAACCGAAAAATTGAAACATTTGCAATTCCGTGCTGTCCAATTTCCCCTCAATCAAACTCATTTCAGCTTCAACTGAAATCCCTCCTCCTTTAGGACCCTGTCTGGGATCAATGGAGGGGGACTGGGGTGAAATTCACACCCCATAACTAATATCCAAACTGCCTCCCAAGTGCCCTGCAAAAAATGGAAGCTACAAGAAAGGACGGCCCCAAAACTCTGCTCTGGGTTATCACGTAAGTACCAATCACTACCAGTCGCTGAGGACAGCGGAGCATTCTGGCTTTTGCAAACATTAAGCGCACCGGACCCTGCCTTAGAGAGTGGAAAAGGAATCCAGCAGAAGTCCTTCAGACATGGGAAGAAAAGCAATTAGCAAATGTGAAGCTACACTCAAAAAAAGGCACTCAATTGAACATAGACAAAGATCCAGCAATACCCCCTAAGGAGGTCAAAGACAGAAAGAAGACTCCCATGTATGCAAAAAGTTTGCAGCACTTTTCGTAATAGCAAAGAATTAGAAGGAAAGCAGGTGTGCAATGACTGGGCAATGCTTGGACAAACTGTAGTATATGGATATAATGGAATATTATTGTGCCATTTGTTGCTGAGTTGTTTTTCAGTTGTATCTGGCTCTTCATGACCCCATTTGGGGTTTTCTTGGCAGAGATATTATAATGGTTTGCCTTTTCCTGCTCCAGCTCATTTTACAGATGAGGACACCGAGGCAAACTGGATTAAGTGACTTGCTTAGGGTCACACAGCTAGTAAGTGTCTGAGGCTAGATTTGAACTCAGGAAGAGAAGTCTTCCTGACTCCAGGTCCAGCACTCTATGCACTATGGCGCCACCTGGCTGTCTCATTATTGTGCCATAAGGAATAATATATATGAAGAATTCAGAGAATCTCGGGAAGATTTGTATGAAGAATGAGAAAAGAAGAAACTAGAAAAACAACTTACATAATGACCCTAATAATGCAAAGGAAAACAATTCTGGAAGACTTCAGAACTGTAATAAATACTTAACTTAGTTATAATAATAATAATAATAATAATAATAATAATAATAATAATAATAATACAACCAGGTCCCTTTTAGTTCAAATAATGAATCCCCTGAAGTGGTCGTATACATACAAATTTGCACTATTTGAAGTTATAATTATTTCAGATACGATCATTGGTTCCAACCTAATAGAAATACTCAGAGCATATTTCCTAGCTGTAACAACAAGCAATAACAACAGCAACAACCAGCATGTATATATTGCTTCAAGTGTTACAATGCATTTTACAAACATTATCTTACTTTACCCTCACAACAACTCTGAAGAGGTAGGTGCTATTACTCTCTCCATTTTGCAGATAAGGAAAGTGAGGGAGACAGAGGGGAACTGATGTGCCTTAGGTCACAGCTATTAAGTATTTGAGACAGGATTTGAACTCAGGTCATCCTGCCTCCAGATGTAGTGCTTTATCTGTGTCAAAAGAGTCTCCGTGTACCAGCAAAGAGGTGGTGGATAGTAGGTAAGGAATAAGGCCTACATTTCCAGACTTGGTCAACGTGTTGATTTGTATTTCTTGACTCTACTTACTAATTTCGGACAAGGGAGGGTTCCACGTTGGGAGGGCGGGCAGAGGGTCATGGTGAAGTGATAGTGACTTTTTAAAAAAAAAATAATTGACTTTTTTTTTTAATTATAGAAAGCACACCACGACTGATTCAACCCTGGCCCCAACTCATTCCATTTCAGGTTCTTTCTCTTTGCCTCATTTTATGTCCTAAGGAGGCAGCAAGGTACAGTAGTAAGAGCATCTGATTTTAAGTTAAAGGACTTGGGTTCAAATCCAGGCTTGCTTGAGACCTTCCCTTTTCTAGGCTTTGGTTTTCTTATCTGTAAAATAAAATGGTTGGAATAGATGTCCTCTAAGTTTCCTTCTAGCTTTCAATTGGTGATACTTTCAGCCCTGTATCTATATTATCTCTAAGTCCCATTGGATAGGGACTTGGGAACCTGAGATCAAGTCATAGCTTGTGCCACTAATTAGCTGTATGACCTTAGTTAAATTAGTCACTTGTCTGTGCCTCAGTTTCCTCATCTGAAAATATAAAGTGGCGTAGCATAGTGGAAAGAACACTGTCTATGGAATCAGAGGACCTGAGTCTAAATCTGGTCTCTGACCCTTACTGCCTAACTTCCTCAGCTGTAAAATGGTGTGGTTGGATTTATTGGCTCTAAAGTCCCTTCCAGTCAATTATTTGAAGTCGGTAGACAGGTTAAGCTTTAGAGCCTATCTAAATTCAAGATTTTAGGGTCTCTCTCTAGTTCAGTTAGGTCACTACTTCTTCCCCATGATAAGCCCAGCCCCAAAGCTAGTGTGGAGAGAGGGAGAGAGAAAAGGCCGTGGCATTATGTCCCCGAATCAGCTCTGGGAATCTGGAAGAAAGTGAAAGGACAGCCTCATTCGGTGTGGGGTCAGCCCTCTTCTGACGTGGGGCTGGCAGGCACTGAAAGAATTATGAATGGGCTCGTGGGGGAGGTGCCGCGTCAGGAACACTGGTGTTGGCACTCCCAACAGGCCTCTTTCTCCTGTGGCAGCTCAGGTTACGCCCCGTCGGGTCCCTCTGGACTTCAGGGATCGAACGAGCCTGTGAGCAGTTCTCCCTGAGGATAGGCCAGGCTGCGGGAGGACGTGGGCAGAGCTATTGCCCCATGCCCTTCTTGGCTTCAGGTTCCTGCTGTGCTCGGGGTGATGGTCCTCGACCTGTCTGAGGGGGTTTGGGATGCACAAAGCAGAAAGGTGACAGAAGGAAAAAGGACCAACCCTCCACCAAGGTCTAGCAGGCGTGACCATTGTCAATCTCACAAGCCACTGAGTGGTCAAAGAGTAGTGTCTTCCTTCAAGTCCCAACTGAAAATCCCACCTTCTACAAGAAGGCCTTGGTGATCCCCCTGAATGCTAATGCCTTTCCCTGGTTGATTATTTTCAATTTATCCTTAAACTCATACATCTTGCTGCCATATAAGTATTTGCATGTTATCTCCCTCGTTTGGCTGCGAGCTCCTTGAGAGCAGGGACTGTCTTTTGCATTTCTTTGTATCCCCAGTGCTAAGCACATAGTAGGTGCTTCATAAATTCTTACTGACTGCCTGTCTGCCTGGTTCTGTTTTGGAAATGCTATTCCCCATCTGACTTCCTTCTTCCCCTGAAAAATTTCCTACTGTCTCTGGGACAAGACACAAAGTCAATAAACATCAAAGTTGGATGAGACCTTAGAACAAGGGATTTCAGAGCCAGGAAAAA